CCCCGCTTTCCCTTGCAAAAAACAATATAAAATGACATTTCTTGTTCTAACATAACCAAACTTCAAGAATCCCTTGCAAAAGATAAGGTAAAGTGGACATTCGCGCGCGCAAGACGAAATCCTTCCAAAACCTTAGTGTTCGTAACGATTTTAACATAAAAACATCAAAAACCAATGTTTTTTTCAAAAAAAATGTCAAAATTTCATCCCGCGCGCTCTTGCGGATTCGTAGGAAACCCAACACTTTTTAAACATTTCTGTCAAACGGGCTTTTGCGAGCAACTTTTTCGAACTTCTGCAACAACGGTTGCGCACCTGCCAGGGCCATCATCCCTGTCAAATAATACCATGCGGGACACATTCGTTTTTTCTTCGCGCGCGCACGCCGTCGTCGTCGGCCGCGGGGCCCTGAATAGTAGCCACGGTCGTCCGCATGCCACGAAGTGAAGTGTCCGAACGTCATAGGGCGGGAAGCTGGGTGTGGGTGGTGGCGAAGAGTCGTTTGGAAATTTGGTAGAGCTTGAACCGGCCCCCCCACAAAGTGGGGGTATTTCCCGCCTCCTATGAAAACCCTGGCACTGGTGAGAACGGAGTGTCCCCACGTGCTAGTAATTGTTGTTGTTGTTGTTGTTGTTGGTTGTTGGTTGTTGGTTGTTGTTGTTGTTGTTGTTGTTGGTGTTGGTGTTGGTGTTGTTGTTGGTGTTATTACTGTTGCTGTTGTTGCTGTTGCTGTTGTTGCTGTTGCTGTTGGTGTTGGTGTTGGTGTTGTGATTGTCGCTGTTGTCATTGCTGCTGCTGTTGAATCCTCATTTCTGAAGAATAATTATTGTTGATCCCCCCACTGGTGCATACTGTTTTTTCTCAATCGAAGTGTGCCCCTCGAAGCTCGCACCCTGTTTTTTGACAGGGAAAGTCTTCCTGGTGAAACTGGGCCCTTGGGCCCCGGGGTATAACAACAACGGCTCCCGCCTGAGACTTCCTTACAATTTAGCCAGGACCCCCTCTCCCGCCCGAGACGTCCTCGCATTTTATTCAGGAATCGCGCTCTCGCTGGGGACTTCCTTACAAATTATTGAGGAATCGCTCTCCCGGCGCTCTGGAGTCGCGCTCTCGCTGGAGACTTGCTTGCAACTTACTGAAGAATGGCCTTGCGTTGGATTTTTTTGCAATTTGCCCAAGTGCCGCGCTTCCGACACCCAGGCACCCAGGAGTCGCGCCCATTGTGGCCCCATGTGCATGTTCTTCGTGGCCCCGCTGTCGCCATTGGTGTCCCCCTCACTGTCCTACGTGGCCCAGTTGCTACCCTCAGTGGCCCCATAGTTGCCTTCTGTGTCCCCGCATTATCTGCACTTCGTGGCCCCCGTTCGTTCGCGCTCACGCATTCCCTTCGTGTCCCCGCTGCCGCCCTTCGTGGCCTACTTCGTGCCCTTCACGGCCCTGCTGTCCTTCTCTCTCGCTCTCGCTTTCGCTCGTCGTCGCCGTCGTCGTCATAGTCGCCGTCGTCTTCGACGACGTCGTCTTCGACGTCGTCGTCGTCGTCGTGGTCGGTCCCGTGTCCGTCCCTCTTCGGGTCGGGTCGACGGTCCGCGGCCGCCCCGCCGATCAGCGCTGCCGCTGGCCAGGCCGACGGTCCGCGGCCGCCCCGCCGCTTGCCAGGGCCCGGCCTGCAGGGAAAAAAGGTATACCCCCCAAAAGGGGTTCGATCGAAGACGAAGAGGGCGGGTATCGAGGGTTTGGGAAATACGCGTTATTGGACACTCGAGCATATAAGGGCGAACAGTCTTCAGATTATTTTTGAAGAATAATTATTGTTGGGCCCCCTGGTGCGCGCCCCCCCCGCCGCGCCTAGGCCGCAGCCACGTTTTCATCATTTTCGTGAGGAAGCCTCAGGTAAGTCGAGGTGATCAAGATCCGGTTGTTTTGTTCCCCCCCGCTTTCCCTTGCAAAAAACACTATAAAATGACATTTCTTGTTCTAATATAATCAAATTTCAAGAATCCCTTGCAAAAAATAAGGTAAAGTGGACATTCGCGCGCGCAAGACGAAATCCTTCCAAAAGCTTAGTGTTCGGAGCGATTTTAACATAAAAACATCAAAAAACCAATGGTTTTTCAACAAAAAAATGTCAAAATCTCATCCCGCGCGCTCTTGCGGATTCGTAGGAAAACCAACACTTTTTAAACATTTCTGTCAAACGGGCTTTTGCGAGCAACTTTTTCGAACTTCTGCGACAACGGTTGCGCACCTGCCAGGGCCATCATCCCTGTCAAATAATACCATGCGGGACACATTCGTCTCTCTGTATTATGTATTGTATGGCACAATTGCACCATGCTGGGCACATGCGCGCCCCGAATAAGTGACCAAGTTCTGTGGGTGTGTACCCCACGCCAGTGTAGTAGCCACGGTCGTCCGCACGCCACGAAGTGAAGTGTCCCAACGTCATAGGGCGGGAAGCTGGGTTTGGGTGGTCGCGAAGAGTCGTTTGGATATTTGGTAGAGCTTGTAATGCCCCCCCACGAAGTGGGGGTATTGCCTGGTGTCGTATGAAAACCCTGGCACTGGGGAGAACACCACGCGTTCGGGTAAAATGATTGTTGTTGTTGTTGTTGTTGTTGTTGTTGTTGTTGTTGAACATTATTACTTCTAAAGAATAATTATTGTTGGGGCCCCTGGTGCACGGCCCCCTCGCCGCGCCTAGGCCGCAGCCACATTTTCATCATTTTCGTGAGGAAGTCTCCGGCAAAACGGGTTGGTCCGGATCCGGTTGTTTTGTTACGGGCGGTTTTCCCTTGCAAAAAATAAGGCAAAGTGGACATTTCTTGTTCTAACATAACCAAACTTCAAGAATCCCTTGCAAAAGATAAGGTAAAGTGGACATTCGCGCGCGCAAGACGAAATCCTTCCAAAACCTTAGTGTTTGTAGCGATTTTAACATAAAAACATAAAAAACAATGGTTTTTCAAAAAAAAAAGTGTCAAAATTTCATCCCGCGCGCTCTTGCGGATTTGTAGGAAACCCAACACTTTTTAAACATTTCTGTCAAACGGGCTTTTGCGAGCAACTTTTTCACGTGCTTCGAACTTCTCCAACAACGGTTGCGCACCTGCCAGGGCCATCATCCCTGTCAAATAATACCATGCGGGACACATTCGTTTTTTCTTCGCGCGCGCACGCCGAAATCTTCAAAAACCATTGGGTTTCTTAGGAATTTTAGCACCGCGCAACATAAAATCAACACAACAACGGAAACAAGTCCTGTGGTATGCTGGCGCCACCCACGTGGTACCACTCAAAATAAGTGTCTTCGCTTGTGTGGTACAGAAACGGAAAAACGTCGTATCAGACGCTAGCGCCTCACCAGCCAAAGCAGTCCATATCATTGTAGGACCTACAGACAGTACCGGCGTCGTACTGGTTTACCGTGGTTTCCTATTCTAGCGTCAGGAACACGTTACCACCAAAAACCAGTACAGGTGTCCAGTGTTGGAACAGGGGGAAAAGTCGTATACTAAGCTAGCGTCAGAAAATGTTACCACAACAAGTCACTGTACCCATGCGCCAGTGTAGTAGCCACGGTCGTCCGCAGGCCACGAAGTGAAGTGTCCGAACGTCATAGGGCGGGAAGCTGGGTGTGGGTGGTGGCGAAGAGTCGTTTGGAAATGTGGTAGAGCTTGAACCGGCCCCCCACAAAGTGGGGGTATTGGCGGGCGTCGTATGAAAACCCTGGCACTGGTGAGAACGGAGTGTCCCCACGTGCTAGTAATTGTTGTTGTTGTTGTCGTCGTCCCCCCGCGACCTTGCCCGCATTCCACCCGCGACCCACCCGCGACCCACCCGCGACCCACCCCCGACACCCCACGACCCACCCCCCCGCGACCCACCCCGCGACCCACCCCGCGACCCACCCCGCGACCCGCCGGCGACCCGCCCGCGACCCACCCGCGACCCACCCGCGACCCACCCGTGACCCGGCCCGCGACCCACCCTCGACCCACCCGCGACCCACCCGCGACCCACCCGCGCCCTACTCTACGACCCACCGTCATTGCTGTAAGAAAACAAGACGGCGCGTGAGGCAGGCTTATTGCATAATTTGTAAAACTTAGGCGCCTGCGGCGGGCTGCTTCAGAGTCTCGCAGACTGCCGACGTCCTCGCCGTTCCCTCACTCTTGGATTGAAATGTTGTTCGTTTGGGGGGGAGTTGTGCGTCCCGACCCAAGAGTCACAAGGGACGCCCCAGGAAATCCTGCGGTTGAGTGCCTGGACCCGCGAAAGAGAATCGCAATAATCCTATCAGGAAGCTCGGAAGGGACTTGCGGACACTCCACTTCGTGCTTGATTTCGTCATGGTGGCAGGTAAATGTAGCACCCCCAGTTGCGGATAAGAGTGAGAGGGCGGCGAGGACGTCGGCAGTCTGCGAGGCTCTGAAGAAGCCCGCTGCAGGCGCCTTATTTTTCACAAAGGATGCATGCAATGAGACCGCCGCAGGCTCCGATTTTTTTTGTGTTTAGCAATCTTGGTTTGATCGCAGAGCGGGTCGCGGGTGGGTTGCGGGTGGTCGCGGGGTGGGTCGCGGGGTGGGTCGCGGACGAGTCGCGGGGTGGGTCGCGGGGTGTCAGGGGCGGGTCGTGGGTGGGTCGCGGGGGGGAAGACTATCGACAACCACGATCTTAACATTAACACGAATACGAACACTAACACTAATACTAACACTAACACTAACACTAACAACTATAACAACAGCAGCAGCAACAACAACACTCCGCACCGCAGAACCTCAATTCAGCCACGCGCCCAGAGACAGTGAGTGACCGTTCGGCCCCCTCATTCTGATGGTATGTCTGTTGACGGAGACCCAAGGCTGGATCCGAGTGCATCGGCCACCGCGGTAATACGAGTGTGCTGGCACCCCGGACGGCACCTTTCCCGTGCGTGATTCCAGCACGCATCGAATTGCAGAAACCTTCTCCTCGCCCTCCTGCGCTGCCCGCTCCAGGTGCCGCAGGGTGCAATCGCGAAGCTCGTGCGGAGCGCCTTCTGCGGGGCCCACCTGCCCCGCCGATGTGTCTTCGTCCGCTTTTGGAGCGCTGCGGTCAGAAGCAGGAAGCGGTAGCACGTCGGCATTGATTCGGTATTTCGCTCCTCGGACAGTTGCGCGACTGTTTTTGTGGAGAGAGATGTCGGCGCCCGGAACCATCTTCATGTGTCCCTTCCAGCTTGCGCCATGTTTTCATTGATGCATCGCGATCGGTGATCTTGACGCGCAGACAGTCTAGATCTTGTCACATCCACGCAGCTCTCCTGGCAGCAGCCAGTGCCTGGGCTTGACAACATGAGTGTCACATGTTACAAATTTGGAACAAGGTGCGAAATCCCACTGCGTTCTAGACTATTAGTCCCATCTTTCTTCGTTGTCTGTATGACTCAGCACTTGACTTTGTCGAGATGCGCGTTTGTCCCGCCATCTGCGTCATCCGAATCCGTGCACAATTTCCATAATGAGTCTGATGTGTTCTTTAAGGATGTAGGGGAGCGTTGCTATTTACTGGCTGACTATGTATGGCTCGGTTCAAGTACTGATGTCCCACGAAGGTATCTTTATATAACGGGTTTCAAAGCATCATCCGAGGCAGTTGCTTCCTCCGTGAGCGACGTAGTCTCGAATGGCATCCGCGTCGTCAAGACGAAAAAGCAAACAAGCGAAGATGGTTCAGTTGGATATGTGCAGGCCTGCAGTTCTTTGTTGGCGAGCTTGCCTCCATGAGTGCAATCGCTGACAGATGCAGCGTGCGAAGCATTTCATGTGTGAGTACCACTGCATGAATGTCAGCTAGTCGGCCAAAACGCATTCCTTCGTTATGCGTCCAGTTGCAACCTAGCGAAGCAGTGCGATAAGATGTTGGGCCGTGGAGAGGGGGGATCCACAACTGTTACTCTGGCCCCTGCTTGTAGAACACATTTGACGCACGCTGGGCTCGATCCAGAGGGTCTCCGCCACTGGCCAGCAAGGTCGTGAAGTAGTGTAAGACAAATGGGACCCACTTGCCGCGGCACAGCGCAGTGGATTTCCAGAAGCAGGGGATAAGAGCAACCCGTCAGCGATTACCCTGTATAGATTTCAAGGGCGGTCTGACGATAATGTAGAAGGGCACAGGGCAAGGATGTACAGATGCAGAAGAAGGGACAGGATGCTGCACCTTTGCCCTACATTACAGGGAGCCATCCGGTCTAGTCCGCATGTATTTTTGAGAGTGCTTTCCAGGGCCATTTCGTGCCATTCCATCGTGAGGGCCTTACGGACTGTGCCGCCGACACTGAGCGCAGGACCTACCCAGGGACCCCCGCTGGCGCCCCACTCGGGACCCGCCTGGACCCTGGGGAGGGCGGCATTCTGTCTGACACGGGACCACCCTTGCCCACCACAGGAACTTCCCCCGGGACCCACATTCCGGGCACCCCCCACAGGCCCCCCCCTGCCCTTGCTGTTCATAGTGGGGACCCCCCCCCCACACCTCCTCGCCATACCCTACTCCCCTACGCCTCCCCTGCCTCCGCCCCTTAACACCCCCTTACCCCCCCCGTAAGGGAGGGGAAAAGAGGAGGGAGTCACGACGTTTCTTTTCTCTGTTCGTGTCTAAATTTCCTTGGGACTGGCGACGACGCCGACGAAGACGACGACCGCGTTTCACACACACACACACTCACACCGCAGGGTCGGCGGATTTGGATCCCAGCATGACACAATGATTTTGCTTGATAGTGAGATGGTTCCGCTTCTTACGTGCCCATGTTGTATCAACGCTGCTTTGATAACGCACATGCAATCATGTGTCATTTGTCGATGCGGCGATGTCAGCGAGACGAAGCTTCAGGGCGTCCTTGAGATCGGAAGCCGTGAAACTTTCGTAGCGAATTGCTTCCAGAGATGGGGCTTCCAGAGATAGCGTTGCTTTCGTAGCGTCCGTGAGATGGGGCCCAGAGCCCGGCCCGCAAGCTTCCTTACGCAGTATCCGTGTAGGGCCCCCTTTATGCTTTGCCCCTGCCTTTTCTCCGCCTTCGCCCAGAATCCTGATACTTTGTCTAAGTCGTGTCAAGTGAGGCCCAGGAGGGCCCCCCAAAGGGCCGAAGGAGCAATATCAATAGTGCCCAGCATGTTATGAGCATAACGTTTTGAAGCATGTGTGAGGGGCCATGGGCAGGGAGCAGTGAATATGCGAACTGAACAACGGTTCAAACATAGAAAGGCTATTCGGGTATGCAACGAAGTGCACCGGCCAATCCATAATGCGAGCTGCGCGACCATGGTTCATGAATATCGTTCAGCAATGGCGTAATGGTGGACGTGCCAACCACAGAGACCACGGATTGAGGAATGGAAAGGCTGTCGAGGGCGTCTACAGTGTAGAGAGAGCCAGAGTGAGGAGCAACAACACCGCTGTCTTGCTGGTCAGGACTACGACTTAGTAATAGCAATGCGAAGCAAAGTGTAAGCTTCACGGAGCGACTTGCAATTATTTGCACCGCGCGGAGGAGGATATGATCCAGCCCATGAAGCAGGAGCACGGGGTAATGTATTATTTCATTGAGCTCTAGCCAAGGAGACATACACGACAATGGTGTACTCAGCCAGGGAATGTGTTTAATGCCACTGCTGTAAAGCCCATCGGGGCATTTGGGGGAGTAGGGCAGTCTCAGGACTGTAAAAACCGTTCCACGATCGATGTTCCGGCCTTTTGGTTTATAATAAGCGGTCTGAGCAGGATGTGTTGCATGTTTTGGTCAAGACGCAATGTTCCGTTGCATGCAGGGCGTGCGGGGAAGCGGGGTGCCGCGAGGCAGCAAAGCTGATTGTCGAGACGGACTCGGCGCGGTTGTGCCTGTCTCGGAGGTTGGCGCGGTCGCGGTCAGAGCTGGGAGGAGGCGGGGACAGTGTTGAGTTCCACCGCTTGACCTGTGGCCCCGAGTAGGACAAGCGCCAGCCATGTCGTCATGTTGGCGTCCAGGCTTGTAATGTGGTCCACCAGAAGCGACGTGGCGTTTGTCTTGGCAAGCGTTGAAGCATCTGTTGCCGCCGTGCAACATTGCCTGGCAGCCTTACATACCACATGCCCAGTTGTCGTAGTGCATTCGGGCCGCTTGCACGAAGCCTTTCTGGCATTCACAGCCCGTTTCTCTTTAGCAGTGCCCCTTCTCACTGGATCTGGCTTCCCTAGAGGGGGGTCCTACTTGCTTTGTGATGTGATGCGCTGTGTGGTCGCATCCGTGGGGCTGGTTCCTTCGTGCGCGGTCGCCGCTTCTTTTTTTGCGCAAGTTGTGCGACGCGTCATGCTGCGATGTGTAACGGTGTCGTGTGACACGATTTGGTGTGCAGTGATGCTGCATGCGATGGAATACGCTTATCTTCACACGCCCATTGCTGTGCTGCGCTCTGCCGGGATAGTGTGAACACGATGCTCGGATAATGAGACAGCCCATGTTGTATGATGGGTGGCGGGATGCGTTTCAATTATCCGTAAGGGCTTCGCCCCCTGCCGCCGGCCCCCTCTCTCGGAGAATGGGCCATGGAAGAGCTAAGTCATGAGGCCTTGGCGCTGTTGTGAAACAGTATCGAAACTTCATGCGAAGCCGATTCGCAATCAGCAAAACCAACTGATCACAAGAGGGGTTACCACACCTGGCGATTGGTAAGACGTGTATGGTGTACGGGCTTGGTTACCACACCTTGCGATTAAAGGGCCGAGGGAGTTCTCGCAGTTTGGGTTACCACGCCTTGCGATGGATGTGCGTGAAGGGTGGCACCGAATTTCAGAAATGTGCCAAATCCCGTGTGTTTTTGGACCCTGACCCCGCGGATCTGCGTAAGGGGTGGCGCCGAATTTCAGAAATGTAGCAAATCCCCGTGTTTTTGGACCCTGACCCCGCGGATCTGCGTGAGGGGTGGCACCGAATTTCAGAAATGTGGCAAATCCCTTGTGTTTTTGGACCCTGACCCCGCGGATCTGCGTGAGGGGTGGCACCGAATTTCAGAAATGTAGCAAATCCCCTGTGTTTTTGGACCCTGACCCCGCGGATCTGCGTGAGGGGTGGCACCGAATTTCAGAAATGTGGCAAATCCCCTGTGTTTTTGGACCCTGACCCCGCGGATCTGCGTGAGGGGTGGCACCGAATTTCAGAAATGTGGCAAATCCCATGTGTTTTTGGACCCTGACCCCGCGGATCTGCGTGAGGGGTGGCACCGAATTTCAGAAATGTGGCAAATCCCCTGTGTTTTTGGACCCTGACCCCGCGGATCTGCGTGAGGGGTGGCACCGAATTTCAGAAATGTGGCAAATCCCTGTGTTTTTGGACCCTGACCCCGCGGATCTGCGTGAGGGGTGTCGATTTCGAGCCCCCCCAGCAATTCAGACAACGCGCCCAGGTGAGGCTAAAAGTCTTGTTTGGGCCTCCCCCCCCCTCGCGCGGTCAATCAACTAGTTACAGTAACCAGCAAGAAGTCAACTAGTTACAGTAACCAGCAAGAAGCAGAACTGTAACACTGGAAACTACAAGCTACAACTGGTACAGGAAACTGCGAATCACGCGCCTCGCAGCCTGGTGGCCCCACAAGGGGGCCGGCGGATTCAGTCGTGTGGTCGTATGACATGTTATTCAGTGTTGGGCGACCCATTGGGTAGTGTGGCTACGCTCGGCATGGCTGCAATGCTATCCTAAGATATCCGATTGCAAGGCTTGATTGCAACGCAAGGGTGGTTATTACATGTGATCCTGCGCTGTGTAATGACAGCCAACACGATGCCTTACAATGCTATGCAGTGTTGCATGATGCTATGCTGTGCCACGCCATACTACTCTACGCAATGCTGGGTTTGTCGAGCCATGGCGTGTTGACCAATGATGCTACGCAATGCTGTCACAGGCTGCGCTATGCTGTGCATTGCTATGCCGTGTTGTGTGTGTTGCAGCGCATGGTCCACCACTGCGTTGCAATATGTTCCCTTGTGCTGCGTTGCGCATGTTGCGAATGCATGTGGGACCATGGTTTATAGGCTGGGGCCTTCCGACGTTATCCAGCGAGTGATTATGTAGCGAGTTCATGGGGTTGACATGAACGCTACCATTATGTCTCGTACTAATCGGTTTCGGAGCGTCCGATTAGCATTGCGTGCGACTGTATGACGCGCACTTAAAGTCGCTCCACTCTGCGTGCAGTATTTGCGGCTCGCGTATGCTCATTCGGCTTGGCTTTGCGACAGGAAGCCCACAGAATGAGGATCAGCAGTTTTCCAAAGCTTCCTTGCATCCTTGCACCTTCGGTCCATCCTTAGCGGCTTTCGCTAGTCAACCTTGTTCAACGAACACGTCAGCATTGCCCTCCAAAGCTCATGCGCCCTTACCGCGCATCCTTATCATACAGGTTGACTGTACTTCAGAAGGCGTCCTCCTCCTTCCTCCTCGTCCTGCCCCGCCGCGTCTTGTCCTTCCCACGTTCTTCCTGTCCCCACTCCTTCGATCCCACCCGTCCCGTCAGCCTCTCTGCGAAGGCAAGTCTTGATGGGCATGTTTTCCACCACCACCACCACCACCACCATAAGCAGGAGGGAGGAGAGAGGTGGAGGATGAGGAAAAGCACGAAGAGGAGCAGGAGTAGGAGGACCCCCTCCCCCTCCTACTTGTGGTGGTGGCGGTGGAAAGCATGCCCACCAAGTCTGTCCGCGGACCGTTCACCCCCCCGCCCCCTCCTTCTCTCCCCCCTCTCTCTCAGGTGTTGCTAGCAGTGCCCCTGGCCCAGGGTGCCCCCAGCCTCTTGCTCCACCTTGGAGCCCCCTGGGGCCCCCATGGGCCTCGAGAGGGGTGCTCCGGAAGCACCTGGGAAGTCCTGGTGCTCCCTGGGCCTCCCTGGAACTCCCGGGGCCACCCGATGGCATTATTTATGGTATTCCCCATGGGCGTCGGATGCACGTGCGTGGAGGATGGGCGCATTACAGTCATCTACTTTAGTTGCACACAGGGTTGCCCCCGAGGCACCTGGGAAGTCCTGGTGCCCCCTTGGGGCCTCCCTGGAACTCCCGGGGGGCACCTTGGGGGCCAGGGGCACTCCCAGCGGCGCCCGCGCCGCCACGTGGGCGCCTCGGGGCCGCCGCGTGCCGAGGGGGCGACGGGCGCCCGCCCGCGGGTCTGCCTGCCGCGCGCGGCCCCGCGCCTGCGGCCCCGGCTCCGCGGCCCTGCGGCCCGAGCGCGCAGCGGCCCGCGCGCACGGGGGCGCCTCCTCCTCCTCCTCCTCCTCCTCCTCCTCCTCCTCCTCCTCCTGCCCATCCTTTTCTCCCCCTCCCACTCCTCCTCCTCCTCCTCCTCCTCCTCCCCTCCTCCTCCTCCTCCTCCTCCTCCTCCTCCTCCTCCTCCTCCTCACTCCTCCTCCTTCTCCTCCTTCTACTTCTCCCCTCCTCCGGCTGCCCCAGCCCCGCCCCCCCCCCCCCCCGCGCCCTCGAGGTCATACAGGTGCCATGCTGTTGCCCCGAGGCCTTCTGGTTGTTGCTCAACATGATGGGAAGCTGCCCAGCACACGGCCGGGACGTGCCTCGCCCGGGACGGGTGTCGCCTCGCCCGCATGCGCAGCGTGGCACGTACCAAAACCACAATCGCTTTCACGGTTGGAAGCCTCAGCTCCATATCGACATTATCCCCAATTTCCGACGTCTCCCCCCATCTCGCTCTTGCTCCTCCTCCTCCTCCTCCTCCTCCTCCTCCTCCTCCTCCTCCTCCTCCTCCTCCTCCCCCTTCTCCTGTCCCTCCTTCCATCCTTCCCTCCACTCCCCGATGGCGGACATCGTGAACCATTACGCGGCCTTGGACATAGAGGACCGTTCGGATCCTCTTGTTTGCACCTCCAGTGCTTGAGAGCCTTCTTCGGCTTTCGTGCACTCCGCGTAAAGAGGGACTGGGGGGAAATAGGGAAGGGTAGGGGAGGGCAGAAGAGGTTGGATGGAGGAGGAAACGTGAGGCCGGTGCAATGAGCTGGGAGGGAGGAAGAGAGTGCAGGCAGGAGGAGGGGCGGCAAAATGGACGAGGGTGGAGGAGGGAGCGAGAGGGTTCGGTTGTGGATAATGTTTTGGGAAGAGGGCTCGCGCAGACGGCCTATATTGTGAGAGGGGAGAAGGAGGAGGATTATCACAAGGAGGAGGAGGAAGAGGATGATAATTATCACAAGGAGGAGCAGGAGGAGGAGGAAGAGGATGGAGAGAACCAGGCTAAATGGGAGGTGAAGGAGCGGGAGGAGGAGGAGGATCGGCGAAGAGCAACACAAGGAAGGAGGTGGGCGGAGGATGAGCAAGGAGGAACGAGGAGGGAGGAAGTTGGCGGATCGGGCCAGGATCGTGAGAATCGAACAAGATACAAAAGCCATACACATACACTTTTGGCGCCCCGCGCGGATTTCTTGGATCCTCGCTGGGACTCCCACGCCGCCCCTGGCGCGCTCCACGCGCCAGGGAGGGGGGTCCTGCGCAGAACCAGGACATCCACGCGGAGCGCCAAAAGTTTATGTTTACTGTGTTTTGTCTCTTCTTCTAGAGAAGGATCTGGAGGCGAAAGGGGAGGAGGAGGAAGGGTGGGGCGGAGGAGGACGACGCCGACGACGACCGCGAGGACGACGATGAGGAGCTGGAGGAGGGGCAACGAGGAGGGGGAGGAGGAGAGGGATGGGGTGCGGCACTGGGCGTGGGATCGGGGAGGGTGCTGGAGATGGCGGGCCCCGTCCTCCCTGGGGGCCCCCGTCCTCCGCGTGCCGTCGAGGCACGGCCGGTCGGCTCGGGGGGTGCAGGAGCGAGGGGCGGCTCGGGGAGAAGGGCAGCTTTGGGCGACGTGTGGAGCTGCGGCGGCCTCGCGAGCCCATCGGACGGGTCGGGGGTAGTGGATCGTTGGGCACGGCAAGCAGCCCCGGGATAGAGTCGGGGCCCTGAAGAAGGAACCCCTTTCGTTGGGGAGTGGTTCCGCGTTCCTCAAGTGTTTCGCAGCTTGCCTCAGGTTTTCCGATGTTCTCGATAGGAAATCGAAGTTTAACTTCTGGAAAAAGAGGGGGCCTCGTTCGCTATTTAGGGTTCCTTAGGTCAACGCCTCGACTGTAAATCAAGAGGAGGTGGCGGACCTGGTGGTCTTCGCCCCATGCCGCCACCGTGCCTGGATCGTGAAGAGGCGGCGAGGTTTACGGTCGGACCGAGGTATAAGATCGAGGTCGGATCGGGGTGTGCCCCCTGAGGATCCTCGAGTTCGTTGGATGTTCATGTGCGTCCCGGGGGAGGGTATCCTCGATCGTTCTGCAGTTAGGCCGGGGCAGGGCGTCATCTTCTTGAGAGATGTCTTCTGCCCTGGGCCCGGTCGTGCTACCAGAAGGAGCGCTACATCAGGAACGAAGCCCTTGTTTAGCCTCATCACCGCCTAGGTGCACGAGGAGGGCTAGAGGAACAACAAGCACGGAATGACCAAAGGAACAGCGAGCCTTTTCCGACCCCAAAGCGGTCTTTGCTTCTTGGCTGTATTTCTTCACATTTCATGGGTGTCCTTCGTTTGTTTCCTCCTCATACCCAATCCTTTCCCTCCTGCTTCTCCTCACTGAGCACTTTCCCCCTCCGTTCGCAAACGTTTACCCCTCCATATCCTCATCTTCCTCCTCGTCTTCCTTTCTGCGGGGAGGAATCGGGAGGATGGCATCGGGCAGGGTTCCCCTCATCGGCAGAGGGAGGATCGCGAGGGAGATGAGGACGAGGAGGCGGAGGTAGAGGAGAAAGAGGAGGAATCTCTGAGGTGGATGGGGGAAGCGAGGGGAGGAGAGACAGGATGTGGACGGGGAGAGGGAAGCGAAGAGGACGAGAGAGATGGTGCAAGACGTGGGGAAAGGATGCGGATGCTGATGCTGCAGGTGAGGTGACGATGAGGGTCAGAAGCTGGGCGAAGGCTGCCAAACCCGTGGCTGCTAAAACGGAGCTCCGCGAAATTGTTGTTTTTTCTTCCGGGAAGCAGCTCGTTTACTATTCAGTGCGCCGAGCTTGATTCCGGGGAGTTTTTTTTCTTCCAGGAAGACCGTTTTAGCAGCCACGGATTTGCCAGCCTTTGCCGAGCTTCCCAGTCAGGTGGAGGATGAAGATGAGGATTCTGAGGAGGATGAGGAAAAGGATTCTGAGGATGAGGATGAGGAGGAGGAGGAGGATTCCGAGGATGAGGATGAGGATCGTGAGGATGAGGATGAGGATGAGGATGAGGATCGTGAGGACGAGGATTCCGAGGAGGAGGGGGCGCAGGAGGGCAGCCGGCGGCCTGCACCCGCCCTCGGCACCGCGGGCTCCCGCGGAAGTCGGGGTGCACCCCCATCGCGTCCTCGGCCCCTCGACCTTACCCCGTCGGGCGCCGTGCCCCATTGTCTGCTTCTCTCTTGCAGTCTTCTCTTCGTCCCAGTCCCGCTGCCGATTCTCTTCCTCCTCCTCCTCCTCCTCCTCCTCCTCCTTCGCTCTATTGTCTACGCTGGCCCTGCACTACGCCGACCTCATGCTCCTTCTCCTCCTGTTGCTCCTTCTCCTCCTCCTCTTTCTCCTCCGTTTCCTCCTCTTTCTCCTCCTCCTCCTCCTCCTCCTCTTTCTCCTCCTTCTCCCCCTCCTCCCCGTGTGGGCGCGAAGATCTGCGACCACGCCCGAGACCTACAGTCAACCCTCACAGTAAGGATGGGCAGCTTTCCCAAGGGAGCTCTTGCATCCTTGCCATCCTAGGCCACTTCCGTTGTCCGCGCCTCGCTCGACAAGCTTGGAAATGGGTGCCCTCGGCACATGCACCATTTCTCGCAGCTCCTTATTTTATGGCTTGTCTGCATGAGCCCAAAAGGCATGCCAACGAATAACGCCGTGCGACGCCTCGGATGCCGCCGGCTGGAGGCGCGCGTCCAGACCAGGGCACCAAGAGAGCAAGGGCCGACCCGGAAACGACGCAGAGTCCGGCGACCGCATGCCACAAGTGCGGAGTTATTGCGCAGGGTCGACAGTCGCTCTCCCGAGGGACGGGGGCCTCAGTTCATATGCCAGCTTGAGCGTTTGGGGGCCTTTGGGGCCCGGAGTTCCTCATGTACCTCCCTGTGGGCTCCAGAGGCGCAGCGTGGTCGACAGGCTTCCAGGGAACTTGCAGATGTCCACACCTCCAGTGGCGAAACAATCGCGCCAGTTGTTTTAGGTTTGTCAGTTTCTGCTTCTCGGAGCTGCTTGGTGGCCGCGGGACCACCAGAAGACAGCAACGGGTGCAAAGTGGATCTTGGGGTGCGGGTCGAGCGGTCGCGGGTCGGCGACTCGCAACATCTGATTCGTCGGACTTGGATTGTTTCAGAGTGGAAGCAGGGGATGCACATGGTGATGGTGATGTTGTTGATGATGACGATAATTTGATGATGGCGATGATGATGATGACATGACGATGACGTTGAGGTTGATTATGATGTTGGTGATGTTGATGATTATGGTGGTGGTGATTCTCATGATTATGGTGATGACGACTGCGACGACGACCTTGATGATGGCCATGACTTTAGCGGGCTATAACATTGAATATAATGTTGGTAAGAGCAGGATGATGATAATGATGATGATGATGGTGATGATGATGGTGATGGTGATGGTGATGATGACGGTGATGGTGATAGTTGTGATGATGCTGGTAATGATGATGATGGTGGTTGTTGTTCTTGCTGATATTGATGATGCTTACGTTTATGATGCGTATATCTCTTTCATTCCTTTGTCAGTCAGTCGGCTGACAATCTTCTACGTCTCTCATGATTTGTATCTTTTTTATATATATCTACCTTTCTCAATGAGATGCGGCGAGACTGCACGGGCCAAGCTCCAGGAACACCCCCCCAAAGCAACAGCACAAACGAATCGAGAGGAGCACGGGTGATCAAAAGGAGGACGAGGGGTGACGGGTGAAGAGATGCGGCTTGTGGGGGCGATCGATTGTTCAGGAGGAGAGGGGTTCATTGGAGGGCGACAGAGGCGGGGAGGAGCAGCGCCCTGAGTTTCTCCTTTTCCACAAGTGTTCGAACATGTTGAACGTACCTCTCCTGCGCTTGGAAAGGCATTCGACACGCGGCGTTGCAAGGTCTTCCAGACTTGCCGTTCGAAAACCTAGCACTTACGACGTGAACGAAACCGAACAGGTCGATGACGCCACATAGGCGCGAGTTAGCATTCGCTGCGAGTGCCACTTCCGGTGCCGATATGGCACCGGCTCTCCGAGCACGTGGGTTCGGAGTCCTTTGGCCAATTCGAGAGGTCGCTCCGCCCTCGAGGGGAGGCCACCGCCTCACCCGCTCCGCCCTCGAGGTCCCAGGCGATTGCCCCGTGACGGTGCCTACTCCGGTCCTGGGTCTGCCCGCCTCTGGCGTGTGGGGCGCGGGGCCGTCGCGAAGCGGGAGCGCGAGGGGGGGGCACTTCGGGGAAGCGGAGTTTTGGAGGTCACTTTCTTAGGCAGGGCACGAGCTACAGGGTTTTTTGGCGATGTCGTGGTGTTCGTTTCGATTCTGCTTTGCAGCGCGGGGCGGGACGTTGACAGAACGAGGGAAAATCCCAGAACAAAACGAAAACGGAAAACACCGTTAAGCTCGTGCCTTGCTCTAAGGTTGCCTCCAGAAGCTCGGGGCTTGTGGCCCGCAGGGGTCTCCCTCTCTGCCACTCTTCCCCCCCACCTCTGGCGCTGCCTGCTTGCGGGACGGCCGCCTGGCGTCTATGCAGGGCTCGAGGTAAGCGGTGTTTTGGCGATCTAGTTTGCAGTTTTCGTTTAAACTTCGTTTCTCAGCAAAGGCAGAACCAAGGAACACGAAAACAATACGAGACCGAACATCACTTTTTAGCTCGAGCCCTGCTGCCGTCTATGATATGCCCCCACTGCTTTGCTCCTCCCTCGCAGGACGAGAACGCCGACGAGGCCGCGATCAAGAAGGCGTACCGGAAGCTCGTGTTGAAGTGGCACCCCGATAAGCATCCAGAGAATCGCGATGAGGCCGAGGACAGAATACGAAACATCAACAATGCCTACGAGGTCCTGAGCAATCCGACGAAGCGGGCGAGCCTGGGGACACGACACGGCACACAGCGCGCGCATGGGGGCGGCGCGAGGGGTGGAAGACATCCGCGCGTGGCGCAGCGTGTGGCGCGAAGCTCGAAGTTTGGTGACACGCGGCGCGAGTGCGCCGCCGGTGTGGCACTTGCTCACCGTTGTGTGACGCCTCCTGCTCTGCTCCCAGCTGACTCATTACCCCTTCTCCTCCTGTATGCCCTTCTTCTCCCCTGCCCCCTGCTCTTCAGCTCCTCTCCACTCGTCGCCCGCGCGCTCCTTCGCGCGCGGATGTGCGCGCACGGGGACGCTCACGTCAGAGGCGCGCATCGGCAGCGGCTGGCGGATCCCGGTGTAGTCCCTGCGTAGGATGTGCATGCTATCGCAGGGGGCGGGGAAGGGGCGGGAGGGGGGGGGGCGCCGTTGCAGGGAGCAGCTCTGCATGTCAGGAAAACCCGAGGGAATGGGTGCTGGAGCCTCTGCTAGGCTTAAGTCAGGCCTGACCTTCAACAGGAGGAATATGCGAAAATAACAAGAAAATAGTCTGGGGGCAATGTTTTCAATCTGTTTGATCAGTTTGGGGTATATTTTGGCAATTTCCGAATTTTTCGTCCAAGCTCCGCCTGTAGGGGGACGTGTCCGACCTAATCCTTGGCCCGGGTGCCCCTCAGGCGGACACCGAGATAAGCGAGCGACAGCAACGAGGGAGAGAAGCTGGGGAGGGGCGGCGGCGCACCCCGCGCCGCGAGCCTGCCATCGTGCCGGCCAAGCATGCCGGGTGGCGATCGTTCGAGGCGGTACGGGAGGCCGCCAAGTGTGACAGTTCGCGTCTCCGTTCGTGGGAGGGCCGCGGTGAGGATAGTGGGGATTCTGGTGGTGATGATGTTGATGATGATGATGGTGGTGATGATGATTATGATGATGGTGATGGTGATGATGAGGATGATAACGAGGAGACGGCGACGACGACGATAACGATGCTGATGATGATGATGATGATGATGATGTTGATGATGATGAACATGCTCATGGCGACGACGACTATGGCGACTATGACGACGACCATGCCGATAACGATACCGCTGGCGTTTATGGATATTGGTAATGATGACGCTGATGATGAGGATGACGATGATGATGCTGAGGATGGTGAGGATCATGTTGCTGATTACGATGGTACTCACGATGGTGATGTTGATGCAGATGCTGCAAATGCTACGACGCAGATTATGATGACGATAATGATTACGAATATTATGACGACGCAGATGATGATGCGTGTTTGTATGAAGATGGTCGTGATTGTGATGATGCTGGTGGTGATGATGCTGATGATGGTGATGAGTGTGATTATGATGTAGATGTTGATGCTGATGCTAATGTTGATGCTGCTGTTGCCGTTAACGTTGTCGATGATGGTGATGATGGTGGTGATGTTCATGTTGATGTTGATGATGCTGATGATTTTGATTATGGTGACCGTGTTGGTGATGGTGATGATGATGACGATGACGATGACGATGACGATGATGATGAGGATGATGATGATGATGACGATGATCATGGTGGTGATGCTGATGCTGTTGATGACGAGGGTCTTGATGATGATGATGCTGATGCTGGTAATTATGACGAACATGGCTTGGGCCGTGTTGAGGCTCTGTTGGTTTCCTGTGAGGCAGCCGCCTTGGTCTCGTACGCTAGCTTGGCGCTCTCTTGGGCCACCTTGAGGCTCTCTTGGCAGCATGGTGGGTGTCTGAGGGGCGTCGGGAAGCCCTCTTGGGCCGCCTTGGGGCCGTCTTGGATGCCTCTTGGGCCATCGTGGTGTCCTCGTGGGCCGTCGTGAGTTGACGTTCGTTCAAAACCCAATTGACATTAACGAGGTTTGCGCTTCTTCGGGCCCTGGGGCCGGTCCTCTTGTGGCCATATTGGGCCATCTTGGATCCTCCAACAGGTAGGCATCTTGAGCCGTCTTGAATCAATGTTCGGCCGCCTTGGGCCATCTCGGGCCGTCGTCGAAGCATCTCATGCAATCTGCGTGCCCGTGGTTGCCTGCCTGTACGGGCCGTCTTGGAAGCACGGGGCACATACCCATCGCGTTTTTAACTATGGATCGTGGTGTGGGAGGCTTTGGAGCGCTTCGGAGCAGCGCCTGGGGGTCTAGGAGTTAGCAGCCATGCGGGAACACTGCACGCTCCTCGCGCGGGCGAGCCTGGCAGGATGGGTCAGGCATTCGCTGCCACGCGGGAAGTGCACCGTCCTAAAGCGCGCACGCGTGGAAGGGGGTTCGGGCATTGGCTGCCGTGCGGGGAGTGCAGCGTTGTCGAGTGCGCACGCGCGGCATTGGGGAATAGGCAACAGCTGCCGTGCTAGACGTGCACCACCCTCGAGTGGGCACGAAGGAAGTGGTCTCAGAAAGGAGGGGTGATGCATGCAACAGTCCGCTGGTAGAGGGGCGTGGGCGATCCACGGTTCGATTGCAGGTACATAACGTACATAATTCACTAGGCAGCCCCTGCCATTTTTCTACGCCTCAACGTGCCATGATGCACGGTTACGGATGTTGTTTGCTCAGGGATTGCCAAGCCACGCTTGCCAAACATGTGCGAACTAAAAAGGGTAACTGGTTCGGGAGCGGGAACCCGCCCGACCAGCCGTATTATGCCGTATTGTGTTGGCCATGAGCAGTAATCGAAATGTGGGTCAGAGTGCAGCCAAAGTCTTGGTCCTGCCTAGGGCGAATAGTACACGGGAGAGGATGGGGAAGGAGGTTGATTCGAGGAGGATTCAAGGAGTAGGATGAGGAGCAGATGGCGGGAATGATGATGATGATGATGATGATGATGATGATGATGATGATGATGATGATGATGATGGTGGTGTTGATGATGGTGATGATGTTGTTGATGTTGATGCTGATGCTGATGATGCTGCTGCTGCTGATGATGATGATGATGATGATGTTGCTGCTGCTGCTGCTGATGATGATGAGGTTGATGCTGACGCTGATGCTGATGATGATGATGATGAGGAGGAGGATGAGGAGGAGGAGGAGCAGTAGGAGAAGGAAGAGTACGAGGAACCGTTTGCGCAAGACACGCACCCGATCTGCGATGGCATTGCCGTGTTTGGCGCTAGACTATCACCGCGCACGGCGCGCCTGCGCCAGGTTTCTGTGAGTTGCATGGCGTAGCTCTACTGGCGCATTGGCTGTTGCCACAGCCGCCCGCTGTGCTTGCCCGAACCATGAAGCCCTCTGCACGACCCACGCGCAGCGCATTCATTAGATACTCGTTTTGGGGACCTTCCTGGGGCCCCCACCTAACGGATCTGTCCGACGCTTGTTCGACTCAGGTTCGTCTCACGTTCGACTCAGGATCGACTCAGGATCGACTCATATCGACGGACGTTCGACGCAGCTTCGACGCACGAATAGAGCGAGTGTCTCCAGGAAGGTCCCCAGAACGAGCATCCAACATTCATGCGGCACGCAGGAGACGTGGGGTGTGCGTGATTTCATTGCGTCGCGAATGGGCGTGTGGTGTTGCACCCGTCGGCTGCTGCCAGGGGTGCCTCCGCGGGGCTGCGTGTCCTCGGGGTGGCTCTGGCATCGCACCCCGTGGCAACGCAATCACCTTGCACTTGTTGCACTCGTGCAGACTTCCTGCGGCCAGTCTCGGGGCCTCAGGGTAAGAGAAGGAGGATGGAGAGGAAGGAATGACGAGCTTGATGACATCTGGAACGATGAGGAACACGAGGAGAGAAAAGGAGGAGGAGGAAGAGGAGGAGGAGAAGGAGGAGGAGGAGGTCAACAATATGCAGGAGGAGGAGGAAGGGAGGAGGAGGAGGAGGAGGAGGAGGAGGAGGAGGAGGAGGAGGAGGAGGAGGAGGAGGAGTTGGAGGAGGAGGAGGAAGGGAGGAGGAGGAGGGAAGAAGGAGGAGGAGGAGGAGGAGGAGGAGGTGGAGGAGGAGGAGGAGAAGGAGGAGGAGGAGGAGGAGGAGGGGGCACACTGCCAGGCTGGGCACGAGCCCGAAGACGGGGAGGGGCGCACAGGCGACGTACGACCAGCAGAGGAAGGCCGTGACGCGCAAGAGCCAGGGCTTCGGGCCCCCACCTCCGGCGGGCTCCGCGCGGAAGCGCATCGCGAAGGACCGACTCACCGAGCGCGTCCCACCTACTCGCAAGGTGCCTACTCGCAAAAGTCACGAACACACATGACTGCTTCGATGTAATGGATCGCGCATCCCCCGCAGCGGCGCCGGGCCATGTGCGAGTAGTTTTATCTGCGAGCAGTGGGGCGCGCTTGTCGACTGGTGACGACGATGCCCGACGACGGCAGACGCGCTCCCGATCTCTCGTTCTCCCTTGCCTCCTGGCTCTCGCCTTTTCCCTCCCGCGAGCGGCCGTCGTCCTCCCCCTCTTTCCCTCTCTCCCTCCCCCCCCTCCCCATCCCCCTCTCCTCCCCCTTCCCCTGCCCCCCCCCCTCCTCCTCCTCCTCCTCCCTCCTCCTCCTCCTCCTCCTCCTCCTCCACCTCCACCTCCACCTCCACCTCCTCCTCCTCCTCCTCCTCCTCCTCCTCCTCCTCCTCCCTCCTCTCCTCCTCCTCCTCCTCCTCCTTTCCTCCTCCTCCTCCTCCTCCTCCTCCTCCTCCTCCTCCTCCTCCTCCTCCTCCTCCTCCTCCTCCTCCCCCTCCCCCTCCTCCTCCTCCTCCGCGTCCCTCCCCCTTACGGACCTGGCGAAGACGGTGCCCGACGTCGGTGGCCACACGCGAAGCGAACCCTATTCCCCTGCCCCCCCACGACAGCTGAGGGGGAGGGCGGGGTTCACTTCGCTCGGGAGCTCCCGAATGAATCAGGCGATCGCAGACTTTGAGAGCCCCGAATCATCAGGGGTAACTCGGGTCAGGGTTAACTCGGGTTCGTTTTTCGGGAATCCGAACCCGACTTACCCCGGACCCGAGTTACCCCGGATAATTCGGGCGTCCAGAGCCCCACATCATCAGGGGTAACTCGGGTCAGGGCTAACTCGGGTTCCTTTTTCGGGAATCCAAGCCCGCGTTACCCCGGACCCGAGTTTCCCAGGATAACTCGGGCGCCAAAAACTTGGATTAAAGGGGGCGTGGATTGGCGACGGGCCCCGTCCACGTGGGAAATCGCGGATTGCCGCCGCCGAGCGAGGCGGCACTGGCTGCATTCTGGGGAGGGCACCTCTCCCGATCCATGGATTTGGCGTCCGCGCGCCTAATCCATGGATCGCTAATCCATGTTTGCGCGCCCCCGACGAATGAAGTGAACCCCACCCTCCCTCTCAAAAATCGTGGGGGGTAGGGGTAGGGTTCGCACGTGGCCCCACTATGACGACGGCAGACGCGCTCCAGAGCTCTCGTCCTCCTGCCTCCTGCCTCTCGCCGTTTCATCCCGCGCACGGCCGTCGTCCTTCCCCTCCGCACCCATACCGCTACCGTTCCACCCTGCGCACGGAGGAGGAAAAGGCACCCATACCGTTACCTTTCCCCCGTCTTCCTCTTTTTGGGCCTCCGGGGGGCTTTTCGTCGCCACCGTTGGACTCGCCTCGAAATCCTGGTCAGAACGCACCCCAGGAGAGGTCCGGGGGGCTGCAGTATCGGTACTTGCTTGGTTTCCCCACGTTCCTTACTTATCCTTCCCTTTTCTGGCAAGAGGAGTTCATGATGATGCCCCTCGGCTTTCCCGACAAGTTTGTGCGGTACCGCGGTCGCAACCTCTACGTGCACTCGCGCGGCGACGCGAAAGAGGCGGGCACCCCACCGACGTGCTTTGGTCGTTTCACGCTTAGCGGTTCGTGAGCGGCTCTCGTTGAGCAGGTTGACCAGCGCAAACAGACTGAAAGGCTGTCCTGGCCATGGCCGTGTCCCAGATGGCGGACCTTTCGAAGATGGTTTTGTTCAGCCACAGCGGTTGCGCCAACCTTTGCCGACAAGATCCGTGGACGAGCAGAACAAGGCCGTCAGGCAGGCAGCGTATGAGGATAAGTCGGTTCAGAGTGTTCCCGAACGCTCTCAGAGCGGCCCGATGTATCCTCCTAACCCGCCGGGTGTTGAGATTCTCGATCTATCCTCCTCCGACTTTCGAGGCGACCGAGAAGGATACGGAAACAATGTGTACAAAGTTCAACAGCAGTTCTCGTTGATAACAGGGTTCGCTGTCGGCGAGGCCGTGGCAGTTGTCTATTGGAGACAGAAGGCTGCCCGCCCAACAGCGGCCGCTGTCTGTTTTGGACAGCCTTTTTGTCCGTAGCCCGGCTTTACTCTGTACGCCACCGTCCACCAGAACACCCCAACCCAATCCGAAGGCCCTACTCTGCCGTGCACTTCCAGTGGAGGGGGTCGAGGAGCATGGAGCAAAACGTATGAAGCCCGTACCCCCCCTGGTTGGGCTGGTTGATGGATGCAGTGTCTTGCATTGTCTTCTCGGCATCAGTGCCACAGCGTCGACGGTAGGCAAGCCACCTCTATCTATAACAGTATTTCCCCACATCCAAAGTGGGGTTCTTGTTTTCTCTGGACACCCCGCGCAGGAACAGGAACACACACACACACACACCCACTCACACTCACTCACACTCTCTCATCATCAATCTCATCAGCATCATCGATGATGCTCTCTCACATGCTTAGTCACTCACATACTCATCATCATCATCACTCGCACTCTCTCACACGCTCACGAACATCATCATCATCATAATCATCGGCATCGGCATCATCCTCATTCGAACATCATCATCGCCACCACTCATCTTCACCACCACTCATCATCCTCATCCTCATCATCGTTGAGTAAATTGTGAGGAAGTCTCAGGCGGGAACCCCCTCCCTATGGGGCCCGCAGATCATGTTGGTAATCCGAGCGGGTCATCGGGATCCTGTAACTGTCGTCACTTTTGAGCTCCCCAGGCCTGAAAATGGAGGAAGTCTTAGGCGGGAGCCTCGTCTGTGAGTGAATTGGGAGGAAGTCTCAGGCGGGAGCCTCCCTATGGGGCCCGCAGATCATGTTGGTAATCCGAGCGGGTCATCGGGATCCTGTAACTGTCGTCACTTTTGGGTTCCTCAAGCCTGAATATGGAGGAAGTCTCAGGCGGGAGCCTCGTCTGTGAGTGAATTGGGAGGAAGTCTCAGGCGGGAGCTCCCTCCCTATGGGGCCCGCAGATCATGTTGGTAATCCGAGCGGGTCATCGGAACCCTGTAACTGTCGTCACTTTTGGGCTCCTCAAGCCTGAATTTGGAGGAAGTCTCAGGCGGGAGCCTCGTCTGTGAGTGAATTCTGAGGAAGTCTCAGGCGGGAGCCCCCTCCCTATGGGGCCCGCAGATCATGTTGGTAATCCGAGCGGGTCATCGGAACCTTGTAACTGTCGTCACTTTTGGGCTCGTCAAGCCTGAATTTGGAGGAAGTCTCAGGCGGGAGCCTCGTCTCTGAGTGAATTGTGAGGAAGTCTCAGGCGGGAGCTCCCTCCCTATGGGGCCCGCAGATCATGTTGGTAATCCGAGCGGGTCATCGGAACCCTGAAACTGTCGTCACTTTTGGGCTCCTCAAGCCTGAATATGGAGGAAGTCTCAGGCGGGAGCCTCGTCTGTGAGTGAACTGGGAGGAAGTCTCAGGCGGGAGATCGAGGCGCGGGCGCGGAGCTTGCTGATGTTCAGGCCCAGCGAAAGGGAGTTCACATGGCAGAGCTCGGGGGCGCACAGCGTGCGCCGCTCGGGGTTCACCCTGACGCACGCGTCCTACCTGACCTCCACGCTGTCGCAGGGCCAGACGCTGCGCAAGGGCGTCACCATCGACTGCGCGAGAGACGAGGACGCTGGCCGCACGGGCATGTCGGACGAGCAGTGGTGGCTGCACCTCTACGTCATGTTCTCCCGCGCCACGTGCATGCGGAACATGCTGATCCTGCGGCCGCCGCCGCGAGAGTTCCTGGAGTGCGGGCCGCCGGCGTCCCTGCGGAAGGCGCTCCTGGAGTTCGACAAGAGAGCGGTTTTGTCCAGGGCGGAGGCGAAGCAGCTCGCGGCAGAGCTGGGCTTCGTGCTGCCTTCCGCCTGAGCGCGGCTGCGCCTCGCTCGAAGCCCGCGGGGTTGTCCCAACGGCTTGGTCTTGCGCGCCAGCGGCTCGCGGGGTTGTCCCGACAGCCTGGCCCGCGGGGTTGTCCCAACGGCTGCGCGACGTGACCAGTAGAGAACGCGCCTGTGCTGGCCGTGGCGGCGACGGCGCCGAGGAACATCGACATGCGCGCTCATGTAACAGGAAGGGGAGGGGGTGGCGGGGCGCGGGACAAACAGGGGGGCGAGGATGGGGACAACGTAAGGAGTGGAAGGGGGGCCCGCGCCAAGGCGAGAGGAAATATACGCAGAAGAGACAGCCAGGACGCCTCACCAATCACGAGGACGACGGTGATGGCTTTTTCCAGATTCGCCCAGGGGATTCTTATGCGGGGTTCTTCCGTCGGAGTAATAATAATATTATTAATAATAATAACAATAATACGAATAACAATAATAATAATACTAATAATAATACGAATATTAATAATAATAATAATATTATACTAATAATAATACTAATACTAATAGTAATAATAATAGTAATATTATTATTAATATTAATAATAATAATCATAGTAATAATAATAATAATACGACTACTACTAATAATAATAATCATACTCACAAACATATTATTATTATTATTATTATTATTACTATTATTATTAGTATTATTATTATTATTATCATTATTATTATTAATACTAGTAATAATAATAAAGAGGAGGAGGAGGAGGAGGAGGAGGAGGAGGAGGAGGAGGTCGGATGAGGAGGAGGAAGAGGAGGAGGAGGAGGCGGAGCGCGGAGGCGGGCAGCGGAGCGGAGCGGAGGCGAGCGGAGGCGGAGGCAGAGGAGGAGGAGGTGGAGGAGGAGGAAGGAGGAGGAAGGGGGAGGAGGAGGAGGAGGAGAGGAGGGAGGGAGGATGGAGGGAGGGAGGAGGGAGCAGGGGCAGGGAGCAGGGAGGAGCAGGGAGCAGGGACAGGGAGGAGGGAGGTAGGAGGAGGAGAGGAGGAGGAGGAGGAGAGGAGGAGGAAGAGGAGGAGAGGAGGAGGAGTGAGGAGGAGGAGGAGGCGAGGGAGGAGGAGGGGGAGCTGGAAAAGGAGAGGAAAGAGTAGGAGGAGGAGGAGGAGGAGGAGGAGGAGGAGGAGGAGGAGGAGGAGGGGGAGGGGGAGGCTCCGTAGCCATTTGGGCTCAAGCGGCAGCAGGTGTATTGCCTTCTTCTTTTCCGAGCCATGCAAAAGCACTCCTTAGTGTACTCTCTGCGGGATGATCTTTTGGAAATGCTCTCCCAGGCAAGTGGCCAACACTACGAAGGCCTGGCGAGTGCGGCTCGGAATTCAAATTGCTTGTCCCCGGCTTGCAAGTCTCAACTGATCAAGATCGACTACGCGTACAACTTGGTCCGCCACATTACCCATGCCAGCGTTGGGCTTTTCACGGGCGAGGTGGCATCTGACACCAAAGGTCAGGGCAAATGGAGGGCCAAAAAGCAATGGGCCCAGCGGGGCCACATGGGCAGCCAGGTCCATTCCACTCGTGCTACTTCAGAATCGAGTGGAGGTGAAGACGTAGTCGAGGTGGCAGGCGGCGCCCACATTGGGATTGAGGCTGCCACCTTGGTCAAGCAGGAGGCGGTCATCTTTGACACCGCGGGTACCCAGACGGAGGAGACAGAGCCTCCTATTTATGATGTGATCATGGCCCGTCTGTATGAGCTCCAAGATATCACCATGGAGACGCGTGCCGACGTCCTCTCTTTGAGCACGAAGGGCCAGCACGTCGTCCAACAGGAGGTGCACCAGGCATCAGACAACATCGTTTCCGAGGGGATGCAAGACTCCTTCGTGCAGCGGGACGAGGGCCTCTTCAAGAGCGACGCTTCGACTACAGCAGACATGCCGCACTACGTGATGATCTCCGCAAGTGGAAAGAATAGACAGCTGATCGACATTCTTCGCAAATCGGAGGCAGGGCAGTTCTTCATCTATACGCGGTCTAGGCCAAGAACCCTAGCTTTGCAGGGATTGCTAGAACGCAGCGGCTTCGCTCCAGAGGGCCTGTGCGAGGTGGGTAGTGCCACCGATCTGGTTTCGGACTCCTCCTCGGACGCTTCCGCAGAGATGGAGGAGGAGACAAATAACAGCTACACGGGCTTCAAAGCGTTGGGCCATAGCACGGGTGTTTCATTCGCCAAGCCCACGTGTTACGTCATCAACTACGACATGCCCGTGGATCTGGATTCTTACATGCATCGAGTTGGGCCAGAAGCTTGCCAGGGCTGCCAAGTATTGGATGTCATTACTTTTACGGTCGAAGAAAATGAGGTCATGGTTTTGCAAGAGATGCTGGGCTGCAGCAAGGCCCTTTCAAGTTCTTCATCTGCGAAGGTTACGGTGTGAAAGTACTGAGCTGCTGCACGTCAGGCCACATGTGTAGGCAGTTGCCATCACTCAATATGCGTGTGTACGATGTGAATGAGGGAGGCATGACGTAGCATCAGGCATGGTGATATCGCTGCAGCGTGCAATCCATAGCAGGCCTCCTCACTCTCATTATCCCTCCACTTCTATCCCACATGTTCTCCCCTTCCGCCCCTCTCCTCGCTTCTGTCGCGATGCTGGATCAGCCAGCATTTGAGGACAGGACATCTTGTTGGGGCGAGTGGGGGGTCATATAAGGGGTGGGTGGGGGATGCTCGAGGATGCAATCTCGACATTTTGTCGTAACGGCGCTGGGTCTCGTAGTGTTGAGAGGTGGCCAGCTACCTCATAGGCCCAGCGCGGCGCCTCCCAACTTAACCCCTTTTCCTTTATTTATCCTCCTCTCTATCTATCCCCTCTGTTCCCCAATTCGCCCTCCACCACATTCTCCCCGCTGGGAGTTGGAGGTGGAGTAACGACGACGCCAATGGCGATAGGGGACGAGACGAGGGGGGAGGAGGGGGCACATGCTCATAAGGATGTGCTTTAACCTTGATGCCTGGCGGAACTGATCCCAGGCATGTCCCTAAACAGCGAAGTTTTGGTCCTCTATGTAACTTCAGCTATCATCCCTATCTATAGCTGTTGGGTTCTTCGCTGTTTAGGTCAAGCCTCCCTCAGCCAGGGTGCAAAGGAGCTGAACCAAGCTCAGCACCTGCCCACCTAGCGCAGGTATTCGCCCTTGTGGGTGGAGGCGGAGTGGGGGCGGGGGGGAGGACCATACCCGCCCTAGTGTGGACATACTGACCACCCTTTAGGTCAGTCAGCCTAGAGGCATCCACAGCCTCGGGCCCAGAGGCATCCACAGCCTCTGCATTATCTCTCTCTCTCTCTCTCTCTCTTTCTCTCTCTCTCTCTCTCTCTCTTTCTCTCTCTCTCTCTCTCTCTCTCTCTCTCTCTCTCTCTCTTCTCCTCTCTCTCTCTATCTCTCTATCTCTCTCTCTCTCTCTCATCTCTCACTCTCTCTCTCTCTCTCTCTCTCTCTCTCTCTCTCTCTCTCTCTCTCTCTCTCTCTCTCTCTCTCTCTCTCTCTCTCTCTCTCTCTCTCTCTCTCTCTCTCTCTCTCTCAAGGTAGGTTTGAGCTGTCCTCACGTTTTGCTGGCAATTCGCGTTGTGCTCGCCGACCCTTCATGTTGTGTCTTGTGTCTTTGTGGGGGGGAGGGGGAGGGGGAGGAGGAAGGAGGAGGAGGAGGAGGAGGAGGAGGAGGAGGAGGAGGAGGAGGGATGAGGAGGAGGAGGAGGGAGGAGGAGGAGGAGGAGGAGGAGGAGGAGGACGTGGACGAGGCAGAGGCGGAGGCGGAGGAGGAGGCGGAGGCGGATGCGGAGACGGAGGCGGAGGCGGAGGCGGAGGCGGAGGCGGAGGCGGAAGCGGAGGCGGCGGAGGAGGCGGAGGCTGAGGCATAGGCGGAGGCGGAGGCGGATGCGGAGGAGGAGGAGGAGGAGCAGTAGGAGGAGGAGGAGGAGGAGGAGGAGGAGGAGGAGGAGGAGGAGGAGGAGCACGAGGAGGAGGAGGAAACGTAACATGCCATTCACACCCAGGCTCCCAAGCGCGAAGGTGACGTAAAAAGCTCGTCACACCAAGGCTCCCAAGAGCGTACGGAACCGTAAACATCTCTGAACACCAGGGCTCCCAACAGAGAGTGGTGACGTAACAAGCTCGTTCCACCAAGGTTCCCAAGAACGAACGGTGACGTGACAAACTCGTGCACACCACGGCTCCCAAGAGCGAACGGTGACGTACACAATTCTCAACACCAAGGTTCCCAAGAACGAGCGGCAACGTACAAGTCTCGGAACACCAAGGCTCCCAAGAACGAACGGTGACGCAGCCAGCTCTTACCACCAAGGCTCCCAAGAGCGAAGGGTGCCATGAGCCCTCTCGGGCAGGTTGCTGCAGCGCTCGTTCCGTTTCCGTGCCGGCCCAGGTGACGGAAAGAGCGAGGTACGAGCGAGTGACGTTGAGCAGGGGCGAAGCCCTCGCCAGGGGGGGTGCAGGGGGGGGTTGAGGCGCGGGTGTTTGAGTGGTAGCGGCCTGTTTCCATCGTTTTTTTCGAGTGAAGCGGCTCCCCGGGGGCCCCCATTGCCTTTTTCTTAGTTTTTTTTGGGGGGGGTGAAGTGGCCCAAGGGCCCCAAGACGGCCCAGGAGCGCCCCAAGACGGCCCCAAGAGAGCTTCAGATGGCCGCTAGACGGTCCAAGAGAGTCTGGAGACGGCCCTGGAGGCCCTCAAGAGGGCCCCCTGAGAGGGCCTCCAGAGGCCCAAAACCTTGTTTTCCCTAAGTTTTTTGTATGTTTTCGGGGTTCTGCCCTTTTCCGTCCCAGAAGGGCCCCAGACGGCCCCAGAGGCCCCGAAGATTGTCCCAAGACGGCCCCAGAGGCGCCCACAAGGGGCCCAAAACGGTCCAAGAGGGCCCCCAGACGGGCCCAAGACGGCCCAAGAGGCCCTAAAGATCGGAGAGGGAGGAGGGAGGAGGAAGGAGGGAGGAGGGAGGAGGGAGGAGGGAGGGAGGAAGGGAGGAGGGAGGCGGGAGGAGGGAGGAGGGAGGAGGGAGGATGGAGGAGGGAGGGAGGTTGTACTCTCACCCGCGCTGTGTCGAGGGCGGGCTTGGGCCCTTCGACCAACTGGCCTCCTCGCGGCGGAGCAGGCGGACGCCATCCGCGAGTGCTGTGACCAGCCAGGCAAGACCACGAGAGCGGAATACGTCGAGGACACACGCCGCGCCAAGCGCGCAAGAGCAGACCCCGAACAGCACGGGCAAGCAGCCTCCCTTTGCGCCCTTCTGCTCGACGCCGACGAGGGGGGCCCCGCCAACTTGCCAGAGGATGCCGCGGACGAGGGGAGCACCCCAAGAATTTGGCTTAGTGGGACACCGTCGACTACGATGACCTCCGACACCACGTGGCGACCGAGCTTCACGTCGCGGACACGGTGGGGGCTGCTCTCGCGCAGCTCCGTGGCCAGGTGGCGGAACGCCTCCTGCAGGCCACCGACGACGGGGCTGCGACCACGCTCAAACGCGCAGAGAAGCTCTTCACCTTCTTCGACCGAGTCTTCTTCTTCTTCTTCTTCTTCTTCTTCTTTTTCTTCTTCTTTTTCTTCTTCAAACCAGGCAGGACCAGAGAAGGGCGCAGGGCTGAGAGGAACAGCGGGGGGCGCGCAGCCATCTTCACGCGACGCTTGCGCCTCGCGGAAGCAGGCGACTGGGGCGCGCTCTGGAGGGGGGCGCGCGCAGCGGCCGGGACCGCGCAGCGGCGACCACGGCGCGCCGACCCCTCCCAGAAAGACGCAAAGGCGGTGGAGGCACTGGTCGGCGAGGGCCTGGTCAGCGAGGCCATGACCCGTGGTTTCTGGCCGGCCACGGTGGCCACGGAGGCGGGGTTGCAGGCAGGCCTGCAGGCGCTCTTCCCCCTGGGGCAGCCCCGCCCGGCGCGGCCGACCTCGAGCTCCCAGACGAGGACACCAGCAACGACCTGGTCGCGGCCGTGAAGCGCCATCTCGGCCGGGACCCGCGGCAGTCTGTGCCGGGGCCCAACGGGGGCCGCTTTGAACGCTGGCGCGCCCTCCTGAAATATTCAACTGCTCTGGGCGCGGTCGCCAAAGTGACGGTCCTCTTCCTGTGCGGGAAGCTCTCCCCGGAAGCCATGCGAGCCAACCTGAGCGCGCGCTTGGTGGCTTTCCGCAAACGCAACGGGGACCTCCGGCCTATCGGCGATAGGCTGGAGGCCCCCGTTGCGGCAGTGTGCTGCGCCGCCTCGCAGCCGAGGCAGCGTGCTGCGCCGCCTCGCAGCCGAGGCGATAGGCTATCGCCTGCGGCAGTGTTCTGCGCCGCCTCGCAGCCGAGGCAGCGTGCGATGTGTTCCGGGAGGACTTCAGAGCCGCGCGCGGGCCACACCAGTACCCCGTTGGAAAAGCAGGGGGCTGTGAAGTCATGCGCGAGTGCATCTCGGCGCTCGCAGAGGCGAACCCCCAGGGCGTGGTAATCTCCTTCGACTGCAGCGACGCCTTCAACAGCCTGCCCGGGCACTGCATCCTGAGCAGCCTCCGCGCCCGGGCGCAGGCGTTACTCAGGGCGGCGCATTGCTGGATAGGAGGGGGGACGACGCACTTGTTCTGGGGCGACAACGACTGCGCCGAGCCCGTCCGGGCAACGAGCGGGGTCGACCAAGGGTGCCCGCTGTCGCCGGCCTTCTTGGCCATTGCCGCGGCGGGGGCCCTGGGCGAGATCAGCGCGAGGCTCCAAAATCTGCCCCCAGAGTGCCGGGTGTTCTCCTACCTGGGCGACGTCGCGGTCTACGCGCCGCCCGCGCACGCCGCCGCGGCGGCGCACTTGGTTCCCGAAGAGCTCGCCCGCCTCGGCCTGGCGACCAACCCGGACAAGACGAAAGCCTGGGCAGCCGACCGCGGGGCCCCGCTGCCAGCTGCGCTCGCCGCCTTTCGGGCTGACAACCTGCTCTGCCTCAGGAGCGCCGCTCCCTGGCTAGACCAGCAAGAGGACAGGGTCCTGGTCAGCGCCGGAGCCTACGGCGCCGCGGCAGTGGCCCGCGCGCGGGCCTTCGCCGCGCGGCTGCGGGAACTGAGAGCGGTCGGCCTTTCAGCTGAGGCCGCATGCGCACTCTTGTGCACCTGCGGGCGGGGATGCGTCACGCACCGCCTCGGGGCGAACTTGCAAACGGGCTGGGTGCAGGAGCTCGACGACGTGCTGTTCGCCGCACTCGAAAACCTCCTCGCGAAGCCCCTGGGCGACGCGCGGCGCCTGCGAGCCTCGCTGCGCCTCTCCGACGGAGGGTGCGCTGTCCCTTCCGCCGTTCAGACCGCCCCGGCCGCGTGCGCCGCCAGCTGGGTCCTCTGCCTGCGCGACGTGGCCACCTGCCTGAGGGTCAGCACCCTGGAAGAGTCTCGCGCCCGCTGCCCGCGCACCCTCCAAGCCTTCGCACAAGCAGAGCAGGCGCTCCGGGGCGCTGGCGCGCTCGGAGAAGAACCGCTAGACCTGCTGGACTACGCGCGGGAGCCGCGGCACAAGCGGCAGGGGCGCTGGGGGAAAGCCGCCTCGGAGGCCAGCGAGAAGCGACTCCTGGACGCGCTGCTGGACGAGGGCGGCCGCCCCTCGCTGCGGTTGGCCGGAGGAGCGGGGGCGGGGCCCTTCCTGCTGCTCCGGCGCGCCGGCGACGCCGCGCAGCGAGACCAACACTTCCTCGCGAACCTGAAGATGCGGCTGGACATGCCCGTCTGCCCCGAGGGGGCCCTGTGCCAGCGCAAGAACAAGACCACTGGGCAACTCTGCAACGAGCCGCTCGACAGGAAAGGGTGGCACGCCAGAAAGTGCGAGGTTGGGGGGTCTCGGAACGACCGACGCAACCGACTGCGGGACTGGCGCTCCAAGCGACACTCAGCGCTCGCCGGATACGCTGCCCCCGCCGAGCAACGCGTGCCCCAATGGCCGCCTCGAAGAGGCCGAGCCCGACGCGGCCGCCGTCGACCGCGACGCCGGGCGCCACGTCTTTGTGGATTGGGCCGTGACCTGCGCGCGCTCAACCTATGCCCCGCGCCGGCAGGCCCGGCCCCACACGCGTGGCCTGGCAGCGGCCCAAGAAGTCGACAGCAAGAGGGATCGGCACCCTCCGAGGCAGGGCCTCGAGCTGGTCCCCATGGTCTTCGAGGCCGGGGGGCGGCCCTCTGAGGAGGCGGCGGCGTGCGTGCGCAGATGCGGCGCCGACCTCGGGGAAGACGAGCGGGGGGAACTCCCCAGCCCCTTGTGGCGGGATGTCTCGGTGACCCTTCGCAGGGGGAGCGCCGAGATGGTGCTGAGCGCCCTCGGGCAGTAGTCCGCCGCGACCGCCACCAACACGACCAACGCCAGAAGGGCTAACTGCTAACCATCACGACCACCACGACCGCCAGCACGACCATCACCAACCCGACCAGCAGGCCCTCCGGCTCCACCAGCAGAGCAGCCTCCGGCGCGACCGCCAGCGACCACCGCCAGCAGACCACCTCCAGCCCCGCTAGCAGACTGGCCACCAGCAGACCCACCACCCAGCACGACCGCCACCCGCACGGCCGCCCGGCAGCACGACCACCGCCAGTACGGCCACCACTGCGACCACCCAGCACGACCCCTGCGCCCATCGCGCCCCCCCGTCCCCCGTCCCCCTCCTCCTCCTCCTCCTCCTCCTCCTCCTCCTCCTCCTCCTCCTCTTCTTCCTCTTCCTCCTCCTCTAATGTTCTGTCGGTTTTTTAGTCACCGCCCTAGGTGTAACTCATGCTGGTTAATTCAAAACCCCCCCACTGTGTCCCCACGGGTCCTCTTGGCGAAGGGGGAGGGGGGCCAACTCTGGCGCCCGTGGGTCTTTCTGGAGGGAGGAGGGAGGAGGCAGGTGGGAGGTGGGAGGAGGGAGGAGGGAGGAGGGAGGACGGAGGAGGGAGGAGGGAGGACGGAGGAGGGAGGAGGGAGGAGGGAGGAGAGGGGGGTAGGGGGGAAGGGAGGGGGGGGAGAGGGGAGGGGAGGAGGGGGAGAGGGAAGAGAGAGGAAAGGGAGGAGGGAGGAAGGAGGAGAGCAGGAGGGAGGAGGGAGGGAGGGAGGAGGGAGAGGGAGGAGGGAGGAGGGAGGAGGGAGGAGGCAGGGAGGCAGGAGGGAGGAGGGAGGAGGCCCCAGACGGCCCAAGAGGGCCCACAGATCGTTTCAAGACGGCTCCAGAGGCGCCCCAAAAGGGGCCGAAACCGTTCCAAGAGGGTCCCAGACGGGCCCCAGAGGGCCCAAGAGGCGCCAAAGATCGTCCCAAGACGGCCCCAAAGGCCCCCCAAAGGGACCAAAAACTGTCCAAGAGGACCCCCAGACGGGCCCAAGAGGGCTCCAAGATGGTCCCAAGAGAGCCCCAAGAGAGCCCCAAGAGGGCCCGAAGAGGCGGCATGGGGACTGGGCTGCTCGGGTGCGGGGACTGGGCTAGCCCAACGACCGCCCAAGAGTCCCAAAACGGCCCAGAAGGGCTCCCAAAATACTCCCAAGAAGCCCCAGAGACGCCAAGGAACACCATGGCTCCCAACAGCGAGCGGTGACGCAGCAAGCTCTTGACACCAAGGCTCCCCAGAGCACGGTGACGTAAACAGCTCTGAACAGCAAGGTGCCTAAGAGCGAGAGGCAACGCAAAATTCTGGAACACCAGGGTTCCCAACAGAGAGCGGTGACGCAACAAACTCTGAACAAGAAGGCTCCCCAGAGCGCGGTGACGTAAGATGCTCTGAACAGCAAGGCACCCAATAGCCAGCGGCAACGTAAAATTCTGAACACCAGGGTTCCCAACACAGAGCGGTGACGCAACAAGCTCTCAACGCCAAGGCTCCCGAGAGCGAAAGGTGCCATGCGCCATGTCGGGCCAGTTCCTGCGGCGCTCTTTGCGTTCCCGTGCCGGCCCAGTTCTAATGGCCTTCGGTCCATCCCGCCACCGTGCCCGGATTGTGGGTCAGAGTCCCGAGGAAGCTTCTTGGGGTCTCTTCGGAGCGCTCTCGGGGGCCTCTGGGGGGGGGGGGCAGTTTGGGGGCCTCTTGGGAGCCTCTTGGGGGCCTCTCGGGAGCCCCTTGGGGGCCTCTTGGAGCTTCCTGGGAGCCTCTTGGAGGCCTCGTGGGGCCTCCGGGGCCGAGGGCCCAAAAAGTTCGTTCGAGTCTTCCGTCGGGGGTCTCTTGCGCCGTCTTGGAGGCCTCTTGGCCCGTCTTGGGGCGCTCTTGGGCCGTTTGGGGGTCCTCTTGGAGGCCTCTTGGGCCGTCTTGTGGCGATCTTTGGGGCCTGTTGGTGCGTGCTTGGAGCGTCGCGAAGCCGAAAAGGCGAGAACGCCCAAATCCTTCAAAAGCAGGAGGGCATCACAGCTTTTGGCCTCTTGGGGCGCTCTTGGGAGTGCTCTTGGAGGCCTCTTGGGGCGTCTTGGAGGCTTCTTGGGTCGTCTGGAGGCCGTCTTGGGCGTCCTGGACACATTGTTCGGCGGTTCGGGAATCCTCTTGGACCGTCTTGGGGGCCTCTTGGCGCCCTGTTGGCCCGTCCTGGGGCCCTCTTGGGCCCGAACAAGTTACGCGACAAGCCGCGACCAGGCCCAGGGGGCACGCGGGAAGCAGCGGGAGATTCGAGAATGTGGCGCATGGTGCCTAAGCAGATCTTCGGGACTCAGGTCTGAGGCCCGAGGGGATTGAGTGAGGGATTTGAGACAGCACATCTGTACGGTTGTTGATGGAGCACCTATGGATGCGTAAGATGTTGGCTTCGAAATGCTTGCACAACTAATGTGTTTGGTTTAGTTTCGCCATGAGCGAGCGCCTGTGGACTTGTGGTTTCGTCCTGCATTAGGTTCGAACTCAATTACCGTTTGAGATCGACGAGTGTGCGCGCATGCAATCATTTGACATGGATGAGGGGTGGTTTGATTTGATGTGAAAATTAATGAGGAGGCAGAATCGTGTGTAAACTGCAATGCGCCAGGGGGGATCACTCCAGGCTCGGAAGGGTGGTAGAGTTTATGTTTCCTATGAGCGGAGAACCAAGCCTTTTGGTGCTCGCTACGTGATGTATGCTATGCGTTGCCGCGCTATTCTGTGCGAGCTCTGTGATGCAACTCGTGTTGTTCAAGTTTTGCGGTGCCCATCGAAAGCGTGTATCTGGCGGCGGTGTGTAGCCTATTCCAGGTCGATGGCTGCCCCCCTCTTCGTGGGCCTCCTCTTTTTCTCCCTCTCTCAGATCTGGCGGTGGAGAGCTCCGCAGCCCCGGCGAGCTCAAGACATCCTGGCCTCGGAGGTCTGGGGCAGCAGGGGCTGCAGCAGCACCCGCCGGTCGGAGGCGCAGGAGCCGTCGCTGTGGACCGACGGGTCTCGTGGCGGTGTCCCTTCGGACCAGCAGGGAAGCCATCGCAGCACTCAGGGTCGGCCGTGGCCGCTGGCTCAAGCAGGGGCACTTGCTGTCTGCACGTTGCTGAACACCCAAACTCGTCGTCAGCGGTCCGTCAGTCCGTCCGGGCGCAATGGCCCGCCTTCTATTGATGGCTATCTCTGGTGGGGCGGCTGTGAACATGAAGTCAGTGATGCAAGACGCGTCTAACATCTCTGCAGCTATGGACACGAACATCGCGGCCAGGCTGGGCGGCGAGGGCTCCCAGACGTTCTCGACGCACGCCCTGGGGACCTTTGCGCACGACGTGGGGGGAGAGCGCAACGCGAGTGATCTCAGCCTCGGCGTGAACGTGGTACAGCTTGAGCGTGGGAGGGGTGGCGGGGCGCTTCAGTTCCCCACAACACTGACGAATGTGTTCGGTTCCGACGTGTCTGCTTCCAGCGGTTGCAATCCGAATCGACCTGCAATCAATGGCTGGGTGTCTGCAGCTACCACCAAAATGTATTCACCGTACCTCTCGACCTGCTATGTGTACGGCCCCGATCTGAACTGCCATCCGAGTAGCGGCTGGGTCACGTGCACGAGGACGTACGACCCACCTGTCCTTCGTGATCGATCTTCGGTGTGTGCGTGCCTCTTGGGGCCTCTTGGAGCCTCTTGGGGGCCTCTTGGGGGCCTCTTGGGGGCCTCTTGGGGCCTCTTGCCTCTGGGGGCCTCTCGGGGCCTCTTGGGCCTCTCGGGGGCCTCTGGGGGCTCTTGGGGCCTCTTAGGGGCCTCTTGGGGGCAGGGGCCTCTTGCTGGGGGCCTCTTGGGGCCATCTTGGGGCCTCTTGCGACCTCCTCAGAAGCGCAAATGAGCGCTGCCTCCTGAGAAGGACAAAATGAGCCCAAAACCTTAGTAAAATCAATGATTTTGCTATGAAGGAAGATGAGCGCGGCCCCCTCAGGAGGCCAAAATGGGGCCAAAACCGTAGTACAATCAAGGATTTTGGCTTCAAAGAAGAGGAGAGGGACTTATCTCCGTCCCCCCGTCGGGGCCAGAATCCTCGTGAGGGTAGTCGTTTTTTAGTCCTCCCAAGAGTCGAAATGGACCCCCCTGACGACCCGCGGGGCGCCCTCTCCAGGCCCAGGGGGAGGGGGTAGGTGGAGGGGTAAACCCTTCCCCGAAGGGGAAGAAGGGGGGTTGAGGACAGAGCGGGCTCTCTAAACCACTCACGCCCAAAGGGCTGGTGGGATTTTTCTAGTGAAGCCGCTAAAGGGCGGCTCCTCGTATTTGTTCGAGTGAAGCGGCCAGTGGGCCCCAAGACGGCCCAAGAGGGTCCCTAAACGGCTCAAGAGGGAAGGGCCCCAAAACGGCCTCAAGAGAGCTTCAGATGGCCTCCAGACTGTCCAAGAGAGCCTCGAGACGGCTCCAGATGCCCTCAAGAGGGCCCCCGAGAGGGCCTGAGGAGGCCAAACCCATTTATTTTCCATAGATTTTGTTGTAGGTTTTTCTGGTTCTCCACTTTTCGGGCCCAGAAGGGCCCCAGACGGCCCAAGAGGCCCCAAAGATCGTCCCAAGACGGCTCCAGAGGCGCCCCAAAGGGGCCGAAAACGTTCCAAGAGGGCCCCCAGACGGGCTCCAGAGGGCCCAAGAGGCGCCAAAGATCGTCCCAAGACGGCCCCAGAGGCCCCCCAAAGGGGCCCAAAACTGTCCAAGAGGACCCCCAGACGGGCCCAAGAGGGCTCCAAGATGGTCCCAAGAGAGCCCCAAGAGAGCCCCAAGAGGCTCCCAAGAGGGCCCGAAGAGGCGGTATGGGTACTGGGCTGCTCGGGTGCGGGGACTGGGCTAGCCCAACGACGGCCCAAGTTTCCCCAAACGGCCCCGAAGGGCTCCCAAAATACTCCCAAGAAGCCCCAGAGACGCCAAGGAACACCATGGCTCCCAACAACGAGCGGTGACGCAGCAAGCTCTTGACACCAAGGCTCCCCAGAGCACGGTGACGTAAACAGCTCTGAACAGCAAGGTGCCTAAGAGCGAGCGGCAACGCAAAATTCTGGAACACCAGGGTTCCCAACAGAGAACGGTGACGCAACAAGCTCTGAACAACAAGGCTCCCCAGAGCGCGGTGACGTAAGATGCTCTGAACAGCAAGGCACCCAAGAGCCAGCGGCAACGGAAAATTCTGTGAACACCAGGGCTCCCAACACAGAGCGGTGACGCAACAAGCTCTTAACGCCAAGGCTCCCGAGAGCGAAAGGTGCCATGCGCCATGTCGAGCCAGTTCCTGCGGCGCTCTTTGCGTTCCCGTGCCGGCCCAGTTCTAATGGCCTTCGGTCCATCCCGCCACCGTGCCCGGATTGTGGGTCAGAGTCCCGAGGAAGCTTCTTGGGGTCTCTTCGGAGCGCTCTCGGGGGCCTCTGGGGGGGGGGGGCAGTTTGGGGGCCTCTTGGGAGCCTCTTGGGGGCCTCTCGGGAGCCCCTTGGGGGCCTCTTGGAGCTTCCTGGGAGCCTCTTGGAGGCCTCGTGGGGCCTCCGGGGCCGAGGGCCCAAAAAGTTCGTTCGAGTCTTCCGTCGGGGGTCTCTTGCGCCGTCTTGGAGGCCTCTTGGCCCGTCTTGGGGCGCTCTTGGGCCGTTTGGGGGTCCTCTTGGAGGCCTCTTGGGCCGTCTTGTGGCGATCTTTGGGGCCTGTTGGTGCGTGCTTGGAGCGTCGCGAAGCCGAAAAGGCGAGAACGCCCAAATCCTTCAAAAGCAGGAGGGCATCACAGCTTTTGGCCTCTTGGGGCGCTCTTGGGAGTGCTCTTGGAGGCCTCTTGGGGCGTCTTGGAGGCTTCTTGGGTCGTCTGGAGGCCGTCTTGGGCGTCCTGGACACATTGTTCGGCGGTTCGGGAATCCTCTTGGACCGTCTTGGGGGCCTCTTGGCGCCCTGTTGGCCCGTCCTGGGGCCCTCTTGGGCCCGAACAAGTTACGCGACAAGCCGCGACCAGGCCCAGGGGGCACGCGGGAAGCAGCGGGAGTTTTGAGAATGTGGCGCATGGTGCCTAAGCAGATCTTCGGGACTCGGGTCTGAGGCCCGAGGGGATTGAGTGAGGGATTTGAGACAACTGTAGCTTGTGCCTCAAGGTCACGGTGCCGGATCTTGCTCGCATGATTTCAGGAAGTGCGCGTGGGCGGCACATCTGTACGGTTGTTGATGGAGCACCTATGGATGCGTAAGATGTTGGCTTCGAAATGCTTGCACAACTAATGTGTTTGGTTTAGTTTCGTCCTGAGCGAGCGCCTGTGGACTTGTGGTTTCGTCCTGCATTAGGCTCGAACTCAATTACCGTTTGAGATCGACGAGTGTGCGCGCATGCAATCATTTGACATGGATGAGGGGTGGTTTGATTTGATGTGAAAATTAATGAGGAGGCAGAATCGTGTGTAAATTGCAGTGCGCCAGGGGGATCACTCCAGGCTCGGAAGGGTGGTAGAGCTTATGTTTCCTATGAGCGGAGAACCAAGCCTTTTGGTGCTCGCTACGTGATGTAAGCTATGCGTTGCCGCGCTATTCTGTGCGAGCTCTGTGATGCAACTCGTGTTGTTCAAGTTTTGCGGTGCCCATCGAAAGCGTGCTCAAGACATCCTCGAGCTCAAGACATCCTGGCCTCGGCGAGCTCAAGACATCCTGGCGAGCTCAAGACATCCTGGCCTCAGAGGTCTGGGGCGGCAGGGGCTGCAGCAGCACCCGCCAGTCGGAGGCGCAGGAGCCGTCGCTGAGGACCGACGGGTCTCGTGGCGGTGCTCCTTCGGACCAGCAGGGAGGCCATCGCAACACTCAGGGTCGGCCGTGGCCGCTGGCTCCAGCAAGGGCACTTGCTGTCTGCACGTTGCTGAACACCCAAACTCGTCGTCAGCGGTCCGTCCGTGCGTCCGGGCGCCATGGCCCGCCTTCTATTGATGACTATCTCTGGTGGGGCGGCTGTGAACATGAAGTCAGTGATGCAAGACGCGTCTAACATCTCTGCAGCTATGGACACGAACATCGCGGCCAGACTGGGCGGCGAGGGCTCCCAGACGTTCTCGACGCACGCCCTGGGGACCTTTGCGCACGACGTGGGGGGAGAGCGCAACGCGAGTGATCTCAGCCTCGGCGTGAACGTGGTACAGCTTGAGCGTGGGAGGGGTGGCGGGGCGCTTCAGTTCCCCACAACACTGACGAATGTGTTCGGTTCCGACGTGTCTGCTTCCAGCGGTTGCAATCCGAATCGACCTGCAATCAATGGCTGGGTGTCTGCAGCTACCACCAAAATGTATTCACCGTACCTCTCGACCTGCTATGTGTACGGCCCCGACCTGAACTGCCATCCGAGTAGCGGCTGGGTCACGTGCACGAGGACGTACGACCCACTTGTCTTCGTGATCGATCTTCGGGTGTGTGCGTGGTGGAACTCATGCACCGTTCGTGACATGACAGGGACGCTTGTCGCTGAACCGGCGTCGCCAACCCCGTCACCGACCCCGTCGCCGACGCCCAACCCGACGCCCTTACCCGACTCCGTCACCCACGCCTTTCCCGACCTCCTTCCCGACGGCCTTCCCGACGCCTTCCCCGACTCCCAACCCGACGCCCTACCCGACTCCGTCTCCGACCCCGTCTCCGACCCCGTCTCCGACGCCCAACCCGACGCCCCACCCGACCCCGTCGCCGACCCCGTCTCCGACCCCGTCGCCGACCCCGTCTCCGACCCCGTCTCCGACGCCTGTCCCGACGCCCTACCCGACTCCGTCACCGACCCCGTCTCCGACCCCGTCTCCGACGCCCAACCCGACGCCCTACCCGACCCCGTCGCCGACCCCGTCTCCGACCCCGTCTCCGACCCCGTCGCCGACCCCGTCTCCGACCCCGTCACCGACCCCGTCACCCACGCCGTTCCCGACCTCCTTCCCGACGGCCTTCCCGACGCCGCTCCCGACGCCCAGCCCGACGTCCAGCCCGACGTATCCCCCAGGCTGGCCGACCCCACAGCCGACGTCTTCTCCAGCAGCTCCAGTTGCAGCCGGAGCCAGCGGAGCTGCGGCTGCCACAGGGGATCCCCACCTGCAGAATCTTCACGGTGAGCGTTTCGATCTGATGAAGCCGGGCACGTTTTGATCAACATCCCGAAAGGTATGCGCGCTGAAGAGGCACTACTTCGCGTGGAGGCCGAGGCGCCTTCAACGTTACAGGACTGTGGGCAGAAAGCAATCAGACAGGAGGGTACCACTATGACACGCACAGTGGCGTCAATGATAGTCCAGAGTGGCTTGTTGTTGGTAAGGTCGAGGTCAAAGTTGCCCACGGGCGAACGCAAGACGGGACCTTGTATTTGAACTTCTACGTCAAGCACTTGGGCCGAGCTGGCTTGGCCGTCGGAGGTCTGCTGGGAGAAGACGATCACCGCGATGCAAGCGCGCCCCCAGTCGGATGTGTGAAGAAAGTCGAGTTGACCGCAGGTGTGCACGCCTCCAGCCTCTTTTCGCGCTCCTATGCCATAGCAGCCGAAGCACGCGTAGACTAGTGTTCTGAATTCTTCACCTTTTGAACCTTTGGATATCCACGCCTCAGCGTGCCCAGGCACGCTGGCGCATTATAAGAAGCTGTCGGCGGCCCTGCCCGCGCGCCGCTGGAAAACCACGTCCACGGTCGTCTCTCTTGCTCCGCCAGGTGGGCGTCGGCCGTGCGCCTGCACCTGCATCGGGGCCCCGACGGTCAGGCTCCGGAGGGCCAGGATCGCAATCTCGAGGTGCCGCCGCCGCGCGCCGGGCCGGGCCTCCAGCGCGGGTGGCATCGGCGATCGTCGATGCCTCGGTGATGCGGCTCGATCTTGGGCCTGAGGGCCCAAGACGGCCTGAGGCCCCCGCAGAGGGGTCGAAAACGGTCCAAAAGGGCCCCCAGACGGCCCGAGAGGGGCCCAGAAGAGCCCAAGAGGGCCCCAAGACGACCCCAAGAGAGCCCCATTGGGGCTCTCTTGGAAGCCTGTTGGAAGCCTCTTGGAAGCCTCTTGGAGCCCTCTTGGAAGTCTCTTGGAAGCCTCTTGGAGTCCTCTTGAAGAGGGCTCCAAGAGGCTTCCAAGAGACTCCCAAGGGGACCCCAAGAGGCTGTGTGGGGACTGGGCTGCTTGGGCGTGGGGTCTGGGCTGGCCCCACGACGGCCCACGAGTCCCACCACGGCCCTCAAGAGGGCCCCCGAGAGGGCCTCAGGAGGTCCAAAACAATGGTTCTCCTTAGGTTTTTGAAGGTTTTTCGGGTTCTCGCCTTGCCAAGAAGGGCCCAAGACGGCCCAAGAGGCGCCAAAGATGGTCCCAAGACGGCTCCAGAGGCTCCCCAAAGGGGCCGGAAAAGGTCCAAGAGGGCCCCCAGACGGCCCAAGAGGGCACCACAGAGGCCCAAGAGGGCCCGAAGACGCTCCCCAGAGAGCCCCAAGAGGGCCCCCAAGAGCGTCTGAAGAGGCAGTGTGGGGACTGGGCTGCTTGGGTGTGGGGTCTGGGCTGGCCCCACGACGGCCCAAGAGGGCCCCAAGACGGCCCAAGAGGGCCCCAAGAGGGCCGCCCAGAGAGCAGCCTCAAGAGGGCCCCAAGTGGCTCCCAAGAGAGCCCAAGAGCACCCAACGGCCCTCAAGAGGGCCTCCAGAAGACTCCCAAGACGCCCCAGAGACGCCAAGTAACACCGTGGCTCCCAACGGCGACCAGTGACGTAACACGCTCTGAACGACAAGGCTCCCCAGAGCGCAATGACGTAAAAGGTTCTGAACAGCAATGCGCCCAAGAGCGAGCGGCAACGTAAAAGTCTCTGAACACCAAGGTTCTCAACAGAGAGCGGTGACGCAACACGCTCTTAACGCCACGGTTCCCAAGAGCGAAGGGTGCCATGAGTCCTCCCGGGCCAGTTCCTGCGGCGCTCTTTCCGTTCCCGTGCCGGCCGAGGTGACGGAAAGAGCGGGGTAAGCATGGGTGTAGTGGCCGCCTGGGGGCCGCTCCCCTGCGGCTCCCGGGCGGCTCCCATGGCCTTTTTCTTTGTATTTTTCGATTGAAGCGGCCAGTGGGCCCCAAGACGGCCCAAGAGGGCCCCAAGACGGCCCAAGAGGGCCTCAAAACGGCCCCAAGAGAGCTTCAGATGGCCTCCAGACGGTCCAAGAGAGCCTCAAGAGGGCTCCATAGGCCCTCCAGAACCCCCGAGAGGGCCTGAGGGGGGCCAAAACATTGATTTCCCTTTGGGTTTTTGAAGGTTTTTCTGGTTCTCCCCTTTTCGGGTTCAGAAGGGCCCAAGAGCCCCAAATATCGTTCCAAGACGGCCCCAGAGGCCGCCCCCCAAAGGGGCCGAAAACTTTCCAAGAGGGCCCCCAGGCGGGCCCCAGAGGGCCCAAGAGGCTCCAAAGATCGTCCTCGGGGACGCAAGTATTGTATACTTTGCGAGGGTTTCTGGCTTCGGGGACACGACTACGGCGTATTTTGCGAGAGTTATGGTTTCGGCGGCGCGAATATGGTGTAATTCGCGAGGGTTTATGGCCTCGGGGACGCGACACTTGCGTAATTTACAGGGTTTATGTCATGGGGGGCGCGAATTTCATGTATTTTTCCACACATCCAAAGTGGGGTTCTTGTTTTCTCTGGACACTCCGCGCAGGAACAAGAACCCACCATCATCATCATCATCATCATCATCATCATCATCATCATCACCATCATCATCATCATCATCACTCATTCCTCACTCACTCACTCACTCACTCACGCACTCATCATCCCTCACACACTCACTCACTCAGTCACTCACTGATTCATCAGCACTCACATATGATGATGATGAGTGTGCGCGTGAGAGAGTGTGATGATCATCATCACCACCACCATCATCACACGGCTCACTCACTCATCATCATCAATATCATCAACACACTCATCATCATCATTCGACCACTCATCATCATCATCATCGTCATCATCATCGTCATCACCATCATCACCAGGATCATCATCATTCACTCGTCATCATCATCACTCACTCATCGCATCGTCATCGGTCTCCTGTAACTGTCGTCACTTTGGGGGCTTCTGAGGGTTGAGTATGGGGGAAGCATGAGGCGGGAGCTTCGTCTGTGAGTGAATTGCGAGGAAGTCTCAGGCGGGAGCCTCCTCCCTATGGGGCCCGCAGATCATGTTATTAATCCGAGCGGGTCATCGGAATCCTGTAACTGTGTAACGTCACTTTTGGGCTCCTCAGGCTGACTTTGGAGGAAGTATCAGGCGGGAGCCTCGTCTGTGAGTGAATTGCGAGGAAGTCTCAGGCGGGAACCCCCTCCCTATGGGGCCCGCAGATCATGTTAGTAATCCGAGCGGGTCATCGGAATCCTGTAACTGTCGTCACTTTTGGGTTCCTCAGGCGGGAATTCTGAGGAAGTGTCAGGCGGGAGCTTCGTCTGTGAGTAACTTGCGAGGAAGTCTCAGGCGGGAGCCCCCTCCCTATGGGGCCCGCAGATCATGTTACTAATCCGAGCGGGTCATCGGAATCCTGTAACTGTCGTCACTTTTGGGCTCTTCAGGCCTGAATTTGGAGGAAGTATCAGGCGGGAGCCTCGTCTGTGAGTGAATTGCGAGGAAGTGTCTCAGGCGGGAGCCCCCTCCCTATGGGGCCCGCAGATCATGTTAGTAATCCGAGCGGGTCATCGGAATCCTTAATTGTCGTCACTTTTGGGTTCTTCAGGCGGGAATTCTGAGGAAGTATCAGGCGGGAGCCTCGTCTGTGAGTGAATTGTGAGGAAGTCTCAGGCGGGAGCCCCGGACTACCTGGCCCGCGGGGTTGTCCCGACAGCCTGGCCCGCGGGGTTGTCCCGACAACCTGGCCCGCGGGGTTGTCCCAACGGTTTGGTCTTGCGCGCCAACGGCTCGCGGGGCTGTCCCTTTGGTTTTGCGCGCCAACGACTCGCGGGGTTGTCCCGGCAGCCTGGCCCGCGGGGTTGTCCCAACGGCTGCGCGACGCGGCCATCAGAGAACGCGCCAGTGCTGGCCGAGGCGGCGACGGCGCCGAGGAACATCGACTTGCTTGCCCCGACCAGGGGGAGGGGGAGGTGCACGTAGAGAAGCGGCAGGAGGAACATGAGGAGGGGGAGGGTATGGGGGAGGGCGATGATAAGGAGGAGGTGGAGAAGGAGGAGGGGGAGGTAGAAGGAGGGGGAAGGGAGAAATAGAAGAAGGAGGGAAAAGAGGGCAGAGGAGAGGGCGAGAGGAGGGTGTTTGCCATGGCCAGGAGGAAAGGGAGAAGGGCACGCAAAACAGATTATCATGTGGGGTCCTTCCGTCGGAGTAATTTTGTTCGAACTCGCTGAGCAAGCAAGCGTACAGCCAAGGTAGCAGAGTATTGGCCGAGCATAAAAACATTGTCGCTAGAGCGTGTGTGTTGCCCATTCCCCCCCCGCCCGAAATTCGGGTCTTTGGGTTGGGCTGGGGTGGTCTGGTAGGTAGTCAGTACGCCAGAATACCCCAACCCAACCCGAAGGCCCCGATCTGCCGTCCACTTCCAGTGGAGGTGGGTCGGGAAACATTGAGAAACAAACACGCGTATGAAGCCCGTCCTCCTCGTTTTTCTCCTCCTCCTCCTCCTCCTCCTCCTCCTCCTCCTCCTCCTCCTCCTCCTCCTCTCCTCCTCCTCCTCCTCCTCCTCCTCCTCCTCCCCCCCCCCTCCTCCCCCTCCCCCCCCCCTCCAACTCGAACTTCGGGTCTCTGGGTTTGGCTGGGGTGGTCTGGCAGGCAGTCGGCACGCTGCTGCTCGCGGGGCGGGGGCCGGCGGCTCGGCCTCGGGCCTCGTCGTGCACCGCCTCGGGCCGCGGGTTCGGGAGGGCCGCGCCCCTGCGAGTGGTGGCAGGCAGCCCGATTGACCCTCCTCCTCCTCCTCCTCCTCCTCCTCCTCCTCGTCCTCGTCCTCTTCCTCCTCCTCCTCCTCCTCGTCCTCTTCTCCTCCTCCTCCACTTCCTCCTCCTCCTCCTCCTCCTCCTCCTCCTCCTCCTCCTCCTCCTCCCTCCCCCCCCCCTCCTCCTCCTTCTCCTCCTCCTCCTCCTCCTACTCCTCCTCCTTCTCCTCCTTCTTCTGTGTAATCGCTTCGCTCATCCCGCCGGCCCTGGAGCGCGCTCTCTGGGGCCTCTTCGGGGCCTCTCCGGGGGCCTCCTGGGGCTCCCTGGCGGCGTGTCGGGGGCCCCTTGGGGCCTCTCGGGGGGCTCCTGGGGGCCTCCTGGGGCGGGAGGAGGAGGCAGTCGATTGCGGCTCTCACCTCGGAGGCCGGCCGCGTGCACCGCGGCCGCGCACCCCAAGTTCCAGGGCGACCTTGTGGGCGCCAAGGAGGGCAGGGGCCGCGTCTCCCACGCGCGCGCCCCCCTTCAGACGAAGCAGATCAACACAGCCTACGCGCACTGGGTCGCCGCGCTTGAGATCGCGTTCCTGGAGACCCACGCCGTGCCAGCCGAGGAGAGGGCCAAGTACCAAGGCAGGGCGCAGGGCTACCAGACGGCCCACCAGGTCATGATGGCGACCCCTGGCCGTGCGCACCGCCATGACCCCGTGGCTAGCTGGTGGCAGAACTTCGGCGCGCTCCCGCAGAGCTACGCGGCGCTAGCCAAGAATGGCAGGGACGTGAAGGAGCGGGAGTCGATCGCGAGGCGCGCCCAGGCGATGCTGATTCAGGTCGGCAGAAACGACGACCACAAGAAGTACTTCGGCCCTAAGGGCGACCCTACGGAGGCCGAGGAGCGGAAGCTCCAGGTGGCCCCCCTGGACTTCTGCGACGAGCACGACCTCGACCACATATGCGCGATCACCCAGCGCGGGCAGCACGGCGCCACAGCCAGAGCTGCGGGGAGGGCCCGCAAGCGATGCCTCGACTGGGCCAAGCGGGCCTGGAAGGAGCCCCCAGGGAAGCTCCACCGCGCCGCGAAGGATCCGGGCCCACCCAAGCTCGAGACTAAGCTCCACGGCGTCACCTTCGCCGACCCCTACACGGTTATGAATGGGGCCGGCAGCGCGTGGAGGCAGATCTGGACTACCAATTCCCACGGCGAGCACCAGATCATGCAAGCCTACCTGGAGGCGATGCGCAGGGCGAGGGGGGGCCCTCTCCCCTGCATCGAGCCGCAGCACATCTACGTGGTCGTCCGCGTCGCGGACCCCAAGAAAGCCCGCGGCGTCGACAACATTGGGCCTCTCGACACACAGAGATTGCCCCCCAACGGCATCAACCAGCTGGCGCAGCTCTACAACTTCGTGAGGCACACTGGGCTATGGCCGCAGCAGTTCTGCGCCACGGTTGGTGCGATGGCTCCCAAGCCCGCTGGAGGGGGGCGCGCACTTGGCATGCTCCGTACCATCCCGAAGACTTGGAGCAAGATCCGAGCCGCAATCGCAGACCAGTGGTCCAGTGAGCTGGGTGAGTTCCGGGGCGCCGCCGTCAAGGGCCCCAGCGCCGTGCGGGCCGCCTTGACAAGGGCGCTGCTCCACGAGACGGCGGCGGCCCTAGGCTTCTCCTACGCGACCCTCCTCATGGACGTCGAGAAGTTCTACGACTCAGTCAATTTCGCCAAGCTCCTGGACGCGGCCATCCAGGTAAGGTTCCCCCCCATTGTCGTCGCGCTGGAGGTGCAGCTCTCTATGGCCCCCAGGTACCTGCGCATGCACGGGTAGGCCAGCGACATCATCGACCCGCAGCGCTCCATCGTCGCTGGGAGCGCGCATGGAGGGAAGCTCGCTAAGGTATACTTTGGCCCCATTCTGGCCAAGGCCCACCACAACTACGCCCACGCAGGCCTGTGGACCTTCGTCGACGACACGGTCGCAAGGACCGAAGGCGAACCCAGGCAGGTCGCCAGGGACGTCGCCGACGCGGGCGCATCCTGCGCGACGGCGTGGCCGAGGCGGAGCTCGAGGTCTCCCCGAAGACCGCGGTGATCGCGTCTTCGGCTGCGGTGGCCCTCAACGTGCACACCTACCTCAAGCGCGCGGGTTAAACCACGAAGGCGCCCCGCACCGCGGTCGACCTGGGCATCGAGACCGTCGGGGCCCGTCGCAGAGCGGCGGCCAAAGCAGCTCAGAGGGCGCAGAGGGCCAAGCGCAGGACTGGACGAATCATATCCAATATCCGCAGGCACGCCCCGCTGGCCAAGATTGCGAAGGGCCTCTGGACAACGGGATCCCGCCCGCGGGGCACCTACGGCCATCAGGTCATGGGCCTCCCCCCGTGCACCATCACCGGGCAGAGGCGTCAGGCCGTGCAGGCCGCAGCGGGAAAGGTCCCTGGACGTTGTCTCACAACCGCCCGCGATCCTGGGCGACAAGGGCCCAGGCATCGAGCTCAGAAGGCAGACCATCCTGGAGTGGCTCAACTTCTGCTTCGCGAACCCGAACTACCACCAGCGCATCCGCAAGACCTGGCGGGTCATCTACACGAAGGTCACCTGCAGCAGCACGAGGCGCTGGAGACAGGTGATGGGCCCCATCTCCGCCGTCCAGGCCATCCTACTTGACGCTGGGTGGGACTGTCCTTCTCCCTTCGAGTGGTCTCGACAGCCTCGAGAGGGTGAGCAGGGCGAGCAGACATGGCCCCTACCTCGCAAGGACTGTGGGGATGGGGAGCAGAGACGCGAGCAGGTCGACCCGTCGCAGCTGGCCCTGGAGTTCTGTCAGTCCATCGAGAGCGGCTATTGGCAGGCTGCAGCGAAACACCACTGAAGGAGATGGGCTTCAGAGAGGAGGGGCCGACGCGCATATCGTGATGCACGAGATGACAAGTTCATGCGAACGGAGAGTACGACCAGTGGGCGCTGAACCTTTGCGTGGTCGCGGGAGCACAGTGGCCACGTGGGCGCCTCGTTGAGGCGTGCTACCACGCCGAGACCTCCTGCCCGAGGTGTGGAGGCGCCGAGAGACGCTGATGCATCGCGCCTGGCTGTGCCCCAGCAACCGCGACCACGAGGACTACGGGAAATCTGACGCCCTCCTCCCCTCAGCCCTCGCTTGCACTGGCTGGCCCTGCGCGCTGTGGCCTTGCCGCCCGTGCGGGCGCGCACCCGGTATTTCGAGATATGGGGCGGGACGGTGGGTGGAGCTGGGTTGGGCGGGACTGTGGCAGGTGCGAAGATTCGGATGGCCTCCCCACCCTGTATGGCGACGGCTCGGTGGGTCAGTATAGCTCAGACCCTCGTCACCGCAGGGTGGGGGCCGCTGCGATCGCCATGCAATCTCGCTTTGGGGAGTGGATGCCCTGGGGGGGCATCCTCGCATGCTTGGATGGCCCATTTCGAACGGTGCCGCGCGCCGAGCTCCTAGCATTCGCATTGGCCCTCGAGCACTCAGTCGGTGACCTGCGCAATGTTACTGATTACGTGCTCCTATTGCAGGGGTGCAGGTCGAGCCGACACCTGCAGCCCCATGGGGCCAACCGCGATCTGTGGCAGCGCATTGGCCGCGCGGTCCAGAACAGAGGACCAGGCGCGGCGCACGTCCTGTGGGTGCCCTCACACATCGAGGGCGCCGCCAGTGTAGCGCGTGACCCAGTTGCCTTCGCCCGCACGCTAGGCAGCGCCTGCGCAGACGCGTGGGCTGGCGAAGCCGCCCGCCGTGCATGGGACGCGGCCGTAGTTGGCGCTGCACCCCCTACTGACTTGCACGATGCGCAGTGCGCCCTCATCAGGCGCCGCGCCCGTCGCGCGCTCGCTGATACCCTGGCCGTCGACCCGCGGGTCGCGGAGCGACCCTCGCAGGCCGAGGGGCAGCGCGCCACTCCGCTGCAGCGCGCCTCGAGTGCCAGCCCCCACTCCTACGTGCTCCACTCGAGCAAGTACAGGTGCTCAAGCTGCGGAGTCACAGTGGATAAGGCTCAAATCCGCCCAGCCTGTGCGACGCCGTGCCAGCCAGTGGCGCCCCAGCCTGTCGCAAGTGACCAGGTCGCCCCAGCACAGGGGGCGGCCACACTCTGTGGCCGCGAGCTGCACTCCTCACATAAGCTGCACTTCTCGCAGAAGTGCTGCATGTATTTCTGCCGCGAATGTGGCAAGACAGCCACCGAAGACCCTAGGCACCTTGCCAGTCCGTGCGGGGGCCTAACCCGCAAAGGCAAGGATAATCTGGCTAAGATCGACAAGGGCCTTTTTACGCGCGCCCGTGCGGGTCGCGACAGCCTCGCTCCGTATATCCGTGCGGCTTCCCACGGCATGGCCGTGGAGCAGGCCGCCGCAGCCGCGCTCGCTGGCCCAGCCGCGAGCGATCCATAAGAACTGTGGGTGGCCCCACGGCAAGGCCGTAGCTTGTCGCGCCGCCTCCCACTCGCAGCGGGTTGCCGCTGCCGCGCTCGTAGCCCAGGCCGCGAGCGATATTGTAGACCAAGGGTGGCCCCGCGGCAAGGCCGTGTCCTTTTCGCGCCACCCTTCGCTTGCGGCCGCTGCCGCAGGCGCGCTGGCACGCACCTTGGCGCGCATCATCGTAGTCCTCGTAATCCTCCTCCCGCCCAATGTCGAAACGTCGAATCAGAAAACGTTCATAAGCTCTGCGCGGACTTCTTGGATCGGCGGCCGGGACCCCCTGGCGCGGGATCCAGCGCCGATCTGGCAAGCTTGCACGGACCTCCGAAAGTTTCTGTTGATGTAGTTGCTTGCTCTTCTCACGAGACCGTTCTGCCATCTCCTGGCGGTCACCGACGTGATCACGGGGGGGGAGCGGGCTAGCTACGTTGCGATTCGCGCCGGTGCCGTCCAGGAGTGCTTGAGGAAGGCTCATTCCCAGAGGGCGCCGGCGCGAATCGTGACGTGACCAGGTGGCTGTATAGGGTAGGGGGGTGGGCACGGCAAGCACGGGCTTTACTGCGAATAAGCGGGCTACATGGATCGCCGAAGGCGTTCCGCTACTCGCAGAGAGCCGACTCGCAAGAGTCCGAACAAAAAGACATGACTTCCGACTTGTAAGGGATCGTGGGCCCCCCGCGGCGGATCCAGGCCACTTGCGAGTAGTTTCTTTGCGCGTGGTTGAGCGCGCTTATGAAGCAAATGGGTCTTGAGGGGAGCAGGTCCTGAGTTTTGTCGCCATGTTTGGACTCGCTGGGCACTCCACGGGTCCGCGGACTATATCAGAGGGCGACTCGGGACGCAATGAGGGCCTTAGGGACGGCTCCGGGGTCCAGGATCTCTCTCCCTCGGGACCCGTTAGCTCCATGCCTTGTAGGAGGGAGATGGGCAGGCGGAGGACGCGGCGGAACAGGAGGCAGCCACGAGCAGAGAGGGGGTGGGGGGAAGGGGGAGGGTTTCTTAGAGGCACCCCTGCTTCTTAGAAGGCGCGGGCCTTATCTGTAGATGTAAGGCCGGCGCCTTCTAAGAAGCAGCCTCCTCGTAAGCAGCCCTCCCCCCTCGCTCCACCCCCTTGTTCGCACCGCCAAAGGAGGTCCAGTGGCTGCGCACGGCGACCGCCGACACCATCCAGTGTTGCAGCCTGCTTTCCATATTGCACTTGAGCCTGCCTCCTCTGCGGTCTACGAGGCGCCTCCCAAGCGGTCGGTCTCTCTCTCTCTCTCGCTCTCTTGTCTTGGCCGATCCCGCCCGCGCCCTGCATACAGTGGAGACCCATGCCAAGAAACACCCTGCCTGCCTCCAGGGTGCCCTGGGTTTCTTGGGTTCCGATGGTTTCGCTGTGGAGAGCGCGACGTTCCCACACCAAACATCAACGAACGTCCTGGGGTCTCAGCGTTGGGGTTCTCGCGGAAGGTTTTTCGCGGACTGGCCTCCGCTGTACCCTGCGCTGCCCCAGGGTCTGCCCTGCTGCCCCGCTGCCCTCCGTCCATCTCGTAGCTGTCGGCGCACCCCGAGCGGAGCTCCGGCGCGCAGAGCACGGCCGCAGGGTGTCCGCGGCGCTGGACCCAGGCGTCGCGGAAGGGTGCGGCAGCACTCTCGAGGCCTCCCAGGTGGGGTCGGAGCAGATGGGGTCGGAGGACTTTACCGCATTGCCGATGCATCGACGACGCATCCGCGATGCGGCTCGACGTGGGGCACAGTCTTCTCCATGCCGATTCGTTGCCGATGCATCGCCGGCGCCGCAGGTGCCTTCGCCGCGGCATCGCCGAGGCAGCCGCGATGCGGGGCGCTCCTCCGGCCCCCAGCTGCGCGGGCCCCATGCGGGAGGCCTCTGCGCATGTCCTCGGAGGTGCGTGCCCCCGCCTGCCCGCCTGCTCCTCCTCCTCCTCCCTCCTCCTCCTCCTCCTCCTCCTCCTCCTCCTCCTCCTCCTCCGCCTTCTCCCCCCCCTCCTCCCCATCCTCCTCCTGCTCCGCGGAGAGGCGCGGCAGCACGTCCACGGAGGTGCGTGCCCCCGCCCGGCCCCCCCCTTTGGGGATCGTCTCACCAGCGGGAGGGCCGAGTGTCGGAGGTGGACAGACCTCCTGCCCTGACGCGTCGATTGAGGAATTGGCCGTTTTCGGTTCGCGAGAGGGCGTCGCGGCCGTCATTTTGCAGGTCCAGGTCCGTTGGTTTCGGTCCCAGGCCGTTTTCACAAAGGGGAGATTTACTAAAAGGAGGTTTGTCCACCGCCGAGAGTGCGGCGCGGATCGGGGGGGTGGAGAGGGACACCTTTTGCTACCATGGGGCGTCGTTCGACCAGCCCACAGGTGGACTTCAAGACCTTCTTCGAGGACACGAAGTGGTCGTTGTGGTGGCTGCCCGAGGTCAACAACATGTGCAGGGTGCGTGCGCTGGGCTCGAAGGCCGCCGTGTGCACCTGAGTCCACACGGGTGTCCATTCTTGGCGTTTGCCGACATTTTGCGGCCTTCGCTTTTACAAGGTCGTGCGGTGCGTGTGATCATCGTTATTCGTCGCACCTCAGCATGTTGGCACCATTCCCAAGTCATGCTATATTGCCCTGCGGTTTTACAGCACTCGCGGTTTTACAGCACTCGCCAGTGATCCCCTCGCCTTCTGCTCCCACGTTCCCCCCCGTGGTGATCGCTCGCCACGGTACTCTGCTTCCCTACTGCGCAGCGGCTGCTCTCCAAAGTCGGAAACTGGAACACATACACTACCTCTGGCGGGCTGTTTTCAATCCGAGGACTTTTTCAGGGTCGGGGACGACGTCGGGGTGGTGTGGTGTATTTTTTGTTTTTTTCCCGGGGAAGCAACGACACAAAAATACTCCAGGATCCCGTATACACCAGGGTCCGTGTCTCCTGTGCAAGTGTCGGTACAGGGCCGGAAAATAGCGTCGGTGTAGAGAGTTCGTTTTCCTACCAAGGGTAGGTTGTATTGTGATGTTTTGAAAACAGTGGTGCACTTTCGGTGGAATTGCCTGTTCGGAAGGGGGTGACTTCAGAAAATGCTCGGGATTTCCAAGAGAGCCATCCCCAGTCGATCTCCCTCGTCCCTTGCCCAGCGTGATTACTGCTGGTGCTTGTTCCCCCACTACAAGTCAAGCATTGCTTGCTCTGGTGATCGTTTTCTTATGCATTGTTTTGCCGATCCGCGCGGGCAATTGCACCCCCCCTCCCCCCCCTGGAGTAGATCTTGCCTGTTTTTGGCTCCCGTTTCAAGCAGGTGGAGCCTCGCCCATAATGGACGCACTGGTACAAACAGGCGCACTAAGCAGAGGTCTGGGGCCAGACCCCCCCCCTCCCCCCTCCCTTCCGCCCCATGCCGAAGCACCGAATTAGAAAACGTTCACTTTTGGGGTCTCACTTGCGCCCGACGTCACTGGCCGGCCTGTCTGGGCCATCGGCCCCGTGGGCGCTCGTGGGCGCTCTCGTGGGAGCCCCGTGCGCTGGCTGGCGTCTCTATGCTGTTTTCGTTCGATGTGTTTTCAGACTTTCGGGCCGTGCACCCGTGGCACGTGGACACCTCGTGTGCGCTGGCTGGCGCTCCGGACACGCATCGGCTGTAGCACACATCTTGCACCCTGTATCCAAGGGAGAAAACACGCCAGAAACAATAAGTGTTGGCGCTCCGCGTGGATCTCTTGCCACCCCTGGCACGCTCCGCGCGCCAGGGAGGGAGTCCAGCCCAGATCCAAGAAGTCCGCGCGGAGCGCCAACAGTTTATGTTTATTGCGGTTTTGCTCTAATATATTTGTGCCGCGTAGACCATAGACATTTGGCTAACTTATTTTTACTGGTGGCCTCACCACTCTCATTCTCTCACAGCCAGGCTCCTGTGTGCGGCATCTTCAATACCTCTCTCTCGCATCTCACGCCATGTAGATGCCACCGCATGCTAAGGCGTTCGCGAGTCTTCGATGCCCGCGCACTGAGATGCGCATTGTCGTGCAGGACACCTTCATCGAAGTTGTCGAGGAGGATAGCTTCTAGTCCGTGGATAAGCCGTAAAGAGAGCTTTCTTTTTGCCAGCCGCGTCGACCAGGAGGGACGAACCTCCCTGGAGCAGGCAGGAGAAGGAGGTCGAGCGCGTCGATGCCTCCGCTGTCGTGGCTGAGCAGGCGAAAGAAGTGGAAGGCCAGAGGGGCCATCAGCCAAAGACGACGGTGGCGCATCCGCAGCAGGCGCCCACCTGGTAATTGCAGTGCGGCGAGCGGACGTCATCGGCGGGGTGCTCAGCATCTCCTCACTTGGAGTGTCTAGGGCGATCGGGGTATAGGGTGCAAGAGGGGGGGACGGAAGCAGGGCGCTCGAGGGGAAGGGATCCATACTCAGAGGAGGGGTAAACGACGGGTGCGGGAGGGACGGGGGTGAGGTGGAGAAGGAGGGGTGGTAATGAGGAGGAGGAGGAGGAGGAGGAGGAGGAGGAGGAGGAGGAGGGGTTTGAGGATTGGGACATCCCGGGGGTGGGGGAGGGGGACCAGGAGGAGGACGAGGCGCAGGACGAGTCCGACGACGGGGAGGAGGCCGCGCTTTCACGGCCCCCGCCGGAGCCCCGGGAGGCCTTCGGCGAGAAGATGGGCGCGGCGGCGGGCCTCTGCGGAGGGCTGAACCTCTCGTTCTTCATAGACCCCAACAACCCCACCGACTCGGAGGCCGTGCTTCAACCCGCCCGCGGGGCAGGGAGAGGGGAGGTGGAGGTGGAGGGAGGGAGGGGCGGAGGGGAGGGGCGGAGGGGAGCGAGGGGAGGGGAGGGGAGGGAGTCTAGGCCTCCTAGATAGGGGTCGGAGTGGATGGGGTGGGAGGGTCGCGCCGCACCGCCGATGCATCGCCGATGCGGCTCAATGCGGAGCTCAAGTTTCTCTACGCAGACGTCGGCGACGGCGCCGATGCATCGCCGACGTATCGGCGATGCGGCACGATCCTGGGACCCCAGCTACTCCGACCCCATCAAGGAGGTCTCTAGGGAGGGGGGGACGCGGGGGGTAGGGAGGAGATCTCGCTGTGTTCCTCCACGATCGCCGACAGTGCCAGCTGCAGGGGGGCTTTGAGCTCCAGTTTTCAAGGACCACCTCGTTCCGCCCAGTCCCAGGGTGGAGGCCAAGCTCGAAACGGCTCCGCCGTTCCTTCCCCATGACGCCCAGGACCAACCAGGGCGCGGGGCTGCGCATTTCTGCACCAACCCGCGCGGCTGGAGCTGAGCGTGCTGCGCACACTGCACGCAGTACATCCTGGATTCCCCCCGGTTCGGATCGGGCCTCCGTGGGCCCCCTTTGGCCGCACCCCACAGGACTTGAGAGTCACCGCTGGCTGCCGCGACCTCCTGGCCGATGTCGTCCACATGCGCTGCGATGCCCTTCTCGGGACGCGCAGTGGCCTGTGCGCGGAGCTCGCCCACAAAGTGCGCATGGAATGCGAGCGTAGCTGAGAAGCAATTTGCCACGATGCCGTTCTCACGCCTGAGGGTGTCTTGGCACCCAATCCAGCGTAGGATGGCGCGCGAGACCCCCTCGCACATGTTGGCGAGGTTCTCAAGTAGCATGAGGAACGCAATCTGTCTGCTTGTAGCCTCTACGGTACGCTCAGCTGCCCGCCAGACGCAGCCGGTGACCTTCCCGGAGCTGCTCGCTTTGAGGTTGCCGCGATCATCAATACGCCTCGGCCGCCTCTGAAGCATCTGGTTGTGGCTCCATTTCTACCAGCGGCGCAGCGCATAGAACTGCCCGGTCGGTCGACGCATTCTTGTGGGTTTGATGCATTTCGTTTTCAGCATGTCCTGTTCGTCTGTTGGGGAGACACCTACCTCCGCGATCATATTCATCAAGGCGTATGTCAGCTCGATGTCACTGAGAAACCCAGGGTGCTTGGCGTGGATCCTGACAATGTCAGGTCGTTACTTTCGAGGACATGCTGTCCTTGCGTACCTGATCTCCTGCGCCCCCTGTAGGGCCTGCTTTCGCTTCGCCTTGGTTCTTCGCCCGCGCGCGCAGCATGGCCTCGCGTCGCAGGTGGTCTTTGGCCAAGGCCCCTCGCCAGTTTTGACGTGCCTGCCCAATGCCATCGCGCTGAGAGCTGCTCCGTCGATGAGTCCAGGCATCTGGGTCGCGCACTCAATCCAACCGTCGACGGTGGTGATGGCGAGCTGACTTCTGCTTCGTGTCTTTTGCTCAAAGCCACCTGGACTCGACATTTGGCGTTTACTAAACCGCCCTGGGCGTTTACGAAACAACCCTGCCCAGTTCGATTCCTTCTTTCGGTGCGTTCACTGAACGGCTTCGCGTGTTTAGGTGGTTATACTCGGGGTGGATTTTCTGTCTTTTTTTTACGCTCCGTTCCAGGCAGCGATTTGGGCTGCGACTGAGATCCGCACCCATTCGCCGCTCCTGGCAAGGACTGGCGAGGATGGTCGTCGCGGTTGCGGGCCGTGCAGCGAAGCTGACAAGTCTGGCACGGAGACCTCTTCCTCGTTGCGCTCGCCCCCGAGGCCATCCAGGGCGTCCACATTTGGGTCGTCCATGCTGGTCGTGCCGCATCGCTCTGTCAAGTGCCCAATGACAATGGGCGTCTGTCGTTCGTCCTCGCTGTCTGCAGCGGGGCGATCTCCTCTCCCTGCGGCCACGCAGCGCAGGGGGGACCCACCAGGGTCGCGAGCAGGCGCGGTGCGAGGGCGGGAGATGCTGCGCGCAGCGTTGGTCTCATCAGACGCCCAGGACCTCCGCCGAGCGCGTTCCACTACTCGCAAACGTCCGGACAAGAAAACAACATCGGCTTGCCCCGCTGGAATCTATCGTGAACCCACCGCGGCGGATCCAGGCCATTCGCGAGCAGCTGCTCTGCGAGTGGTGGGACGCGCTCGTCTGGACCTGCTGCTGCCTTCAGGAGGAGAGGCGCGGCTCAGACCCGGGCTTCGGCAGCGCGCGCCCGTGCGCGGCCCCTGTGCGAGGCGGGGCGCAGGGTGGAGGCAACGGCCCCTCGCGACTGCGGCCCCGCTGCCCCGTCCGCCGCTCTCTCCCCGCAGGGCCTGCCCACCCCACGGGGTGCCGGTGCGCCCTTTCCAGGGCTCTTTTCGACTCCTCCGACTCGATTCGGCCCGATTCCGATGGCTTCCGATTCCGACTCGATGCGACCTCGGATTCCGATTTGGGCTCCGGTTTCTCAACGGATGCCCACTAGCCTGCCGATGTCCACCGATTCGACTTCTCCCGACTCGGCCGCCGATTTCCGCCGAACCGATTCGTTTCGATCGCCGATCCGACTTTTCGATTCGATTCTGGGCCCCCCTGCCTGTCTGCCGCCCCGTCACCCGACCGTGACTTGCTGCCACCTGGCGGGGGGGCGTCGTTCAGGCCCAAGGCGCGCGTTAGCAGCGCGCGCATGCGCGCCTCAGTGGTACGGCTGGCTTTTGTCTGAGGCTTCGACCGCCCGCATGTCTGCGGCCCCACTCCTGTCCGCCACGCTCTGCATTCAGGGCTTGCCTGAGAGGCTTTGAAACGAGGTCTTGGCGATGTGTGTGCATCTCGGTGTTCAGGCTCTGCCGCATGGGCCCCTCATGGGCGCCTTGTCGGCTCGCAGTCTGCCTTTCTCCCCGATCCGGCAATGCCGTGAGCATCTGGCAAGCTGTCCAGCCGGCTCCAGTGGCGCCTGACGAACGATCCCCGAACGTCGCGGGTCCGGGGCTGCAGCGAGTTGCAGAACCCTTGCCGCGTTGGCCGTATTCGGAGAACCCGTGCGTCGTGGCAGGCGTCCTCTGCTGCATCTCTTGGGGACCCACAGGGCGGTGCCTGGCCTGGCCCGAGGGCGCGCGCCCGCGCGGGAACGCCGCGAGAGAGGGCCGCCCCCGCGCGCCGCTGGCTGGGGAGGCGGCCGGCCCGGCCGCGCGCGCCCAGGACTTCGGCCGGCCGCGCAGGCAGTTTTCAGAGGAGGAGAGGGAAGCCATACCTTCGGAGGTGGACAGACCTCCTACCCTGACACGTCGATTGAGGAATTGGCCGTTTTCGGTTCGCGAGAGGGCGTCGCGGCCGTCATGTTTGCGGGTCCAGGTCCGTGGGTTGCGGTCCCAGGCCGTTTTCGCTAAGGGGAGGTTTATTACAGGGAGGTTTGTCCACCACCGATACCTCTACCTCTCCCCCACGTTCCCCTCTTTGGGTCTCCTCATGGGCCCTCTCCTCTCCCTCGCGCCCTTCATGGGCCCGCCCTCGTGCGAGCGGGGTGAATGAATGAAATGGGCCTCCTGGGAGCCTGGGAGGCCCTCGTCGCCACCGCCAGATTCGCCTCGAAATGCTGGTCCGAGCGCACCCCGGAGGAGGTCCGGGGAGGAGCGGTGTCGGTATCTGTTGGTCTCCCCGCCTTCTCGGCGCGGGCAGCGGGGCTGCCCCCGCCGCCGGTCCCCCGCGGGCATCGCGACCCCCACGACGCGGCCGCTAAGCGCATCAGGACTCTCCTTCAGGAGGGGACAAAAAACACACAGACACAATGAATCGTCGATGCCCCAGAAAATCGGGGTAAATATTCTAAGCCGCTCGAGGCGCAAAGTTCTTATGCCCCAGCGCCTTACTTTGCTTTGGGGCATAAGGACTGATATGGCTGCTGATGTTCCCTCCGTCGCCATCCCCTTTCCGTCGTCGTCGGTCGTCGTCGTCGTCGTCGTCGGTCGTCGGTCGTCGTCGTCGTCGTCGTCGCCGTCGTCGGGCGTCGTCGCCAATTAATTTCTCGCCCGCGGATCGGCCAAAAAATGGCTGGTATTTCAAGGCACCTTTTGGGGGCGAAAAGGTGGCTTGAAATACATGGGTGTTTTTTCCAAAAGGGGTGTGAAAGCGAAAGCAAGAAGCGAATTTGGAATATGTCGGCCGTCGCGGGCCCCAAACAGCAAGTTGCTGCACCATGGAGGTGCAACCTATGTGGTATATGCTATGTTGTTTGAGCTACGCGGTGGAATCTATGTGGTATAGGATGTATTATGCAAGCTATGCGGTGTGAGGACGTCGCCGTCGTCGTCGGTCGTCGTCGTCGCCGTCGCCGTCGTCGTCGTCGCCCATTACGGAACGGCCAAAAAGTAGTTGGTATTTCAAGCTACTTTTTGGGGGCGAAAAGGTGGCTTGAAATACATGGGTGGTCGTCCCCGGCGCTGCCTCCCTGGATCTCCCCTAAACCACTCTCGCCCAGATCCTAAGCTAAAGCTTCAGCACTGGGCTCAAACCAGACCAGCCAGATCAGCCAGACTGCAATGCAAAAAAAACTGCAATGCAAAAAAAACTGCAATGCAAAAAAAAACGCTTTTCGGTGGTCGTCCCCGGCGCTGCCTCCCTGGACCTCCCCTAAACCACTCTCGCCCAGATCCTAAGCTAAAGCTTCAGCACTGGGCTCAAACCAGACCAGCCAGACCAGCCAGACTGCAATGCAAAAAAAACTGCAATGCAAAACAAACTGCAATGCAAAAAACTGTTTTTCGGTGGTCGTCCCCGGCGCTGCCTCCCTGGACCTCCCCTAAACCACTCTCGCCCAGATCCTAAGCTAAAGCTTCAGCACTGGGCTCAAACCAGACCAGCCAGACCAGCCAAACCAGCCAGACCAGCCAGACCAGATGCAACTCCGACCAAATGCAGCTCCGAGCAACTTGTTCTTTGAAAGCGTGGCGTCCCGCCGTGCGCTACACGGC